GTCAGTTCATTAAGCCAATCAGAAAAAATGTTTCCTGTATAAGGAACCAAGCAAATTGTATCAAGTCACTGACTAGTGTCAGTGACTTGATACAATCCTCATACTAAGCAAGCATATAGCGACAGCGGAGAGGAAAACTCCCTTTTAACAGGAAGAAACCTCCAGGGGATCCTGGCTCAGTATAAGCAGCCATCCACCATGACTCACTGGGGATCGAGAAGACAGAGCAGACACACACACACACACACACACACACACACACACACACACACACACACACACACACACCAAGCAATGTGTCTATGGTTACATTGTGATTGCTTAGTAAATATTCTATTTGGTGAGAGATAAACTTTATTGTATTTATCCTAGTGAATCTATTGTTAAACGGGTAAACTAGCAGTAGCTTATCAAACGTCAAGGAAAGCAGAAAGTTATTATTCGGAGAGGGAGAAAGTTGAAGTGGTTAGCAGCAGTGTGCTAGACGATGGCCCCCTCCACGAGGCCACCACAGCTCAGCAGAACATCACTGTAGCATCTTCTGGGGAGAAAAACACTTAGAGAGAAAATAAAGTTAATAGCTGAAGTAGCAGGAAATAATACAGTTAAAGAGCAGATTGTAGAAGAAAGTAGTAGAGTGTGAAAAGTGGTCAGTGTATCCTCCAGCAGTCTAAGCCTATAGCAGCATAACTACAGAGATAACTCTGGATAACCCAGCCTTTTTAGATGGAGGCATGTTGAAAGCAGGGCAAGGGAGAGCCGTCTTTACCGACTGTACACTCCATCTCCCTCTACTCCCCCACTTGTCCAGATCTAGGCTAACATCAGATTTTAACCATAGGCCCTATCAAATAAAAATTTTTAAGCCTATTCTTAAAAGTAGACAAGGTGTCTGCCTCACAGACTAAAGCTGGGAGCTGGTTCCATAGGAGAGGAGCCTAATAGCTAAAAGATCTGCCTTCCATCCTAATTTTAGATATTCTGGGAACCACCGGTAAACCTGCAGTCTGAGAGCGAAGTGCTCGGTTAGGAACGTATGGAACAATCAGATTACTGATGTATGATGGAGCTTGATTATTAAGAGCTTTATATGTGAGAAGAAGGATCTTAAAATCTATTCTGAATTTAACAGGTAGCCAATGTAGGGAAGCTAAGACAGGATGCTTTTGTCCAACGCAACTTACAAGTTATAATCGGCATGTTGCCCTTGAGGCTAACAACAACAATAACAACAACAAACACTTTCCAGTCAGTCGTAGGTGGCAGTGAGGCAGCATGATGAATCATGGAGAGGAGGGAACAAGGAGTGGACAGTAGAGAGGGGGACGGGTGCAGGGACAGTGCTAGTTTAGAAGATGCTCTCTCTCTCTCTCCGCAAAGCGGCATGAACGAGCAACAGAGGCAACATGATCTTTAAAGGTCAGGTGTTCATCAATCACAACACCCATATTTCAAACTGCCTTTGAAGGAGCCAGAGATAGGAAGTCATTTTGGATTGAGATATTGTGCTGTATGGATGGTTTTGCTGGGATGACAAGTAGTTCAGTTTTAGAGAGGTTGAGTTGGAGATGGTGGGATTTCATCCATTTTGATATGTCAGAGAGACAGTTTGATATTCGTGCAGAGACAGTGTGGTCGTCCAATGGAAATGACAGATAGAGCTGCGTGTCATCTGCATAGCAGTAGTAGGAGAAGTCACGTGATCGAATGATCTCACCTAGTGAGGTGGTGTATATGGCAAAGAGAAGAGATCCTAGTACAGAGCCCTGGGGGACTCCTGTGGCAAGATGGTGCACGGTAGAGGATTGTCCAAGCCAAGATACACTGAATGATCGTCCTGTGAGGTATGATTCAAACCAGGCGTGTGCTTTCTCTGTGATGCTCATGCTAGAGAGTGTGGACAAAAGGAAGCCATGGTTGGCAGTGTCAAATGCTGCTGATAAGTCGAGCAGGATAAGCACTGAGGATTTGGCAGTCGCTCTAGCTTCTTTTAAGGATTCCGTTACTGCTAACAGCAGTTTCAGTGGAGTGGTCCTTTGTGAACCCAGATTGGTAAGGGTCAAGCAGACAGTTTAGTGAGAGGTATTCTGTGATCTACTTGAAAGCCACCCTTTCAATGATTTTGGACAGAAAAGGGAGGAGAGAGATAGGTCGGTAGTTCTCCACATGATTTGGAGGAAGAGCTGTTTTTTTAGCAGCGGTTTAACCTGAGCATGCTTGAGAGAGGTGGGAAATGTACCGGATGCCAGTGAAGGGTTGATCACGTGTGACTGCTGCGGCTACTGTAGGAGCAATAGCTTGGAGCAGCTTAGTCGGAATGGGGTCGAGTGGGCATGTAGAAGGGCAGCTGCACGTGAGAAGCTTGGACACACAGTTCTCAGTGAGAGGGGAAAAAAAGGAAAATGAAGCAGTAGGGCCTGAGATGGTTGGGCTAGAAGGAGTTTGTGGTAGCGAATGTTCAGGAGTGGCCAGTTGAGTAAACTGTTTGCTCATAGCTGCCACTTTGTCAGTGAAGAATGAGGCAAAGGTGTCAGCTGATGATTGTTGGTTGGAGGTGGTGATGGAGGGTTGAGCAGAGTTTTGAACGTTGAAAATGGTTTCTGAGAGTCATTAGAGCTGAGAATTTTGTCAGTGTAGAAAGCTTTCTTTGCATCAGTGATGCTGGCAGAGAATGAGGACAGTAATTCCTGAAATTTCAATTGATCACCAGGATCTTTTGTTTTGTGCAATTTCCATTCCGCAGCTCAAAGATTGGTGTGTAGAGACTGGAGCGTATCATTTAGCCAAGGGTGCGACTGAGAGGATCTAGCAGGTCTAGTGGTTAAAGGGCACAAGTTGTTAAGACAAGAGCAGAGAGTAGAGCAGAGTGACTCGGTGGCATCATTCACTTCATAAGCAGAGAATGCTGGGAGATGGAAGAGTGGAGGCAACAAGAGAGGAGAAGTGGTTGGGTGCCAGATTGCGGAGGTTGCGGCGGAAAGAGACCATTTGGGAGGAAGCAGTGGACCTCCCTTGTAGTCGTGCTGAAATGGATGAAGTAATGATTGGAAAGATGCAGCTGTGTGACAGAGATTGTGTCTATGGCACAGTTTCTGGTGAAAATGAGGTCAAGTGCTTTTCCAGCTTTGTGAGTTGGAGGACTTTGTACTAGTTTTAGCTTAAATGATGACATTAGTGACAGGAAGCCTGATGAGCTGGGATTGTCCAGGTGAATATTCATGTCACCAAGGACCATTGTGGGACAGTCGTGCTCAGGAATGGAGGAGAGCAGGGTGTCAAGTTCATCAAGAAAGTCACCGAGTTGACCTGGTTGGCGATATATGACAACCAAAAAGATTTTTTCAGTACAGTTAACTGGATGGCATGGTATTCAAAGGAGTTGTATTTAATGATGGGTAGCAACTGACTGTATATCCATTTGTTGGAAATTAACATGCCCGTTCCACCACCTCGGCCAGATGCACGAGAAGTGTGGGAGAAAGTGTGGTTACTTGAGAGAGCAGATGGGGTAGCATTGTCACATGGTTTGATCAGGTCTCAGTGAGAGCCAGTGCATCGAGTGACAGGCGGTTTGCATATGCGGTAATGAAGTCTGTTTACAGCTGATTGGCAGTTCCAAAGTCCCATAGAAGGTGGGTGTCTTCGGGGGGAGTTGGTTTTAGCGAGCGGAGGTTTTGAAGGCTGCAAAAGCGGTTTGCTGTGTGTGACCTTCCTCTGAAGCTATTGATCACAGGTATAGGATAATGGCACATTTTGCAAGGAGTCGATGGAGCAGCGTCTGGGTCGAGTTTGTTTGCTCTGTGGACATGCGCAGGTAGACACGTACGTCTTTACCCAGGAGTATCTTCACACCAGAGGGGCCGAGACACAAGGGCTGATGCTTCCGCTGACACTTCATTTATGCCACAAAACTTATGCTGTGCTACTAGTTGGAAACAGGTGTTCATGCAACAGCTGATTGCAATGATTGAGACTTAGATCACCTGATGAGTGTTTTCAGGGAGGGGAGAAACAGCTCGTTCACAGCCCCTGATTGCACTTATTGTTTTCAGTTGGCCCAAACCGGAGCTACTAGACAACAGGATTACCCACAGATGACGAGTTTCCTTCTTTTTCCCAATGGAAGATAGTGCAAAGCAAAAGTTTAAGAAGACAAAACCAAGCACTAACAGACGCTCAAGGCCCTTTGGTGCAGATTCAAGTCTGTTTGAAAGTGTTTGCAGTTGCTTTTTAAGCTTTGCTTCAGGTGAGAGGACAGCCCACCTAGATCACCTGATGAGTGTTTTCAGGGAGGGGAGAAACAGCTCGTTCACAGCCCCTGATTGCTCTTATTGTTTTCAGATGGCCCAAACCGGAGCTACTAGACAATATGATTACTCTCATCTTGAGCATTGTCCCAAGAAAAGATGTGTTTACAAAAATATGAGATGCGTGCATGAGATACACCTCGACACGTCGCTGCATCTGTCAAAAACACCATTTATGTCTCTGTTTCTCTTACTCAGAAGTGCAGCTGCATTTATGGTTACGCTGCTGAAGCCTCATGCAGGATGTGACGTGACCGCTGACTTTGGCTCATGCACAGAAGTCAGTGGAATCTGTCACTGAAAGAACCACAAAAGGGAAAAAGTGACAAACCTGGAGATCCCATCTGCATGTGCCTCCCATGTTAGTGGTAAAGGTTGAAGAGCAGGTGCAATGACTCTTAGTTTAACAACAAAGGTCAATGCGTTGATGGATATCACACTTTTTTTGTTTGTTTTATCCTCATAAAATCAAAACGTGCCTCAACAGGAATTTACTAGTTTAGACGTGTTTAGAAAGAGAGAAATCAAACAGGATCGATGTGTAAAAAAATGCTTTGAATTTGTATAAAACTAAGAAAAGGGTGAGCTTACAAGGTCACTGTAGCCAAAGGTGAATTGGGTTTAGGTCAGTAATGTTCAATAAGGATGTACAAATCCAGATTCTCTGGGATTTTCATTAAAGAACTAGAGTGACTATTAAAAAACTATTTTATTTTAAGAAGATGAAGAATATGTATAAAGAATTGTTAAATATACAAGAAATTTATTGCTGGAGATAAAAATAGATCAAATAAAGTACATACTTTTGGGATGTTTGGGTAAAATTGGAGATAAATCACAATGTAAAAGAACATTTAAATGAAATATCATCTAAAGTGTAATGTCAAAAATGTAATTTTTAAAATTTGATCCAGCAGGTCAGTCATGTCAAATATATTGTTACTTTTTTAAACAAGTATATAAAACAGTGCCATGAAAAAGTCATTTTCCCCTACAAATGTCTAACTTTTGCATTTTTGGTGCCATTTAAAAGTTTTACATCAGTGAACAAATTTCATTTTCAGAATAAAACAACAAGGAATGCACAAAATACAGATTTCATTAAGTAGTCAAAGCTAGCACTGACAAACGTAACAAACCCATTAAATATGCATTTTCACAGTATTGCAATTTAAACATGCAAAGTAAACAATGTCCCTGATAAAATTTGAGCATAATTCTGTCATGCAATTTTATTGATTACTTTGATTCAGACCTTTTTAAAGTTGGTTTGACCCTTAAAAAGTCTTTATTTTAAACATTTCGACACTAGTATATGATAGTGCAAATACAAAATAACAAATACACATTTGAGATAAAGAAAAAGTAGATTTAATGATATAAAAATACATATAGGATCTAAGTAATCAGGTGCTGGAAGTTGCTTCAGTCGAGCAGCTTCTACTAAACAAGTCGTGCTTCTACTTGTAAGGTAGGCTGAACTTCTATGAAACAACATCCACTTCCTGAATCTGTGACATTTACCGTTTCTGCAGGGGCTGCTTCCTCTGACTGTGACAGGCACTCAGACATCTAATCAGCTCTAAAATATCCTCTTTAAGAGAATCAGCATGCTCAACAATCATCCTAGTCAATACTACTTATTTCCTCTATGCTTATTTTTCTTTTACATATAACAACATTTTGCTGCTGATTCCAAAGAAGCAATATGCCAGTCTTGTCTTTTTTCTGGTAGATCTTAGATGACGTCAACTCAGGTGCACAAGTTAGATGCTTTCACACACATCTGATTGTACCAGTCTGAGAAATCTCACCAGTGGGGTATAAACAATATGAAAGTGCACGCATTACAACATCAATGTTTCCTACAGTTCTAAAAACTAGGGAGGCAACACTTAGTGTGTGTGTGTGTGTGGGGGGGGGCACACTTTGCTCCAGAAGGTGCTTCTCCCAACCCCACAAACCACCTTCTCAGACGAATAAAACTGCTACCGGCGGAACAAAACAAACAAAAAAAGAGATTTTAAGGTGTTATGAGAGCTGAATAAGGTGTAATATTTGTTTCTACTGTCACATGAAAACAATTTCTCAGGCTTGTCCTATACAGCGTTGTCAAAATGTGTCAGGAAATATGAAAATGTATATAAAATAAATAAAGCAACTAGGAAAATTGTTTTCAAAAGCAATAAAATGCTGGACTGCCTTGAATGAGAGGTATAATTCATATGATTCCTTTGAGATATTGCTATATTGTATCACAACAGAACAAACAAGGGTCAAATATTGACCAAAGTTCATTTTGAAAACGCACAGTAGGCGTGGTTTTCTGATGTATGACTAACATGCAACGGACAATACAAGGAAGGTTCACTTGGTGGTGGGCATCTTGTCAGAAAATTCACAGCACTGATGGGAGCGCTCTCAGCTTTTCACCTCAGGGCTCGAGATTGAGCTTGACGACGGATTCGTGGCTGTCGCCGCTTTCCTCAACGGGCCTCCGACACAAAGAGTCCTTGTCTGCGAGCAAACATTCAAACAAATTCAACTTGAAAAGACAAATGTAACTGCTGTTGTAATTTATTTTTGCCTTTTCTAAATATTTTTGTAAAAACTTGATAAATGAATGAATAAGTTCAAAGAGAAAAGTGCTGAATTTTAAACTGTAGAGCTTTGTTAATACGAGCTAGATCACAAATCCCCTCTTCGCCCTCCATTGGGTTGTAAAACATTGTAAATTTGGGAGATTTAACTTCTGACAATGTCAGTTTTACTGATTTCTGTCCTGTTCATGATATAAACATTACTGTGTAAAAGTGCTTAAAGGTGTGGAGTGATAGGGATGAATGCCTTTTAAGTTATATTCAAGCGGGGGAAAACACTGGTGCACCATTTCCAGGAAATAGGAGTGAGCCACATCACACTTGAGCTCTAGACGGCAGGATCTGGAGACTTATTTCTTGATATCTTACCTCTGATTGGATATGTGACTTTACTACTGACTTGTAACGTGGATGTTTCATCTCCACAAATAACACAAGTTTGATGGAGTTCTGCCGTGTGGTGGAGTTGCTAATTCTAACGGTTATCTTCTCCTAGCCTTGACGTTCTCTGCTGTTTTCTGGATGCTAAAACAACAACAACCTTCCCCGTCGTGAGTTAAGATGGGTGAGTCAATGAACGTTCCATGACAGTGTGACGTAGATCTGTCAGACTTTTCAAGTCCTAGAGTTTCAACATCTATTTTCTATCAGACGCTAATGCAGGAGATAGGTGTAGGAGAATATTTTCATGTTCAGCCTGCATGATAAACTCAGAGTGACCGATTATAATCAGAAATAGCCATTCAAGTTGGACAGCTAAGACTTGACCTGAAGACTTTGTTCATCTGCATCAACTCTAGAATCATGTCCAAAACCAGGATTTGGGGGAAATGCATGTGAGTTAGCGCGCTTTAATGGTGAACATACTACAATTTAAAAGCTTTAAATATATGAGTTTCTATTATGATTCAAGAAAGCTCATTTGAAGCAAAGTATCTTCGCAAACAAGAAGAGAAGTTGTTATTAATTTATTATTATTAATATTGGAGATTTAGAAAAACCTTGTCATACTTTTTTATTTCCTCATTGGGAAAAGGGTAATTTAAAATTAAGCTAAATCATCTGAGATATTTTAAGTAAAAAGAAACTACATTAGCCAGATTGATGAGCTCATCTAACTAAACCTAGTAGCCAAAGTTAATTCTAACATCTTACTTGAAATGCAAAACCACAGAAAAGGTAAAAAATACATGAATTTAACAAAATGTCATCGCAAACCCCATGATTTGTACTTCCCAACATACTTTGCGTGGTTTTTCGCTTGCAAAGGGTGATGTGCATCTTGCAGGTTATCGCAGTCCAAACAAGCAGTCCAGCAATTCCCAGAAGAAGAATGACCACACCTGCAGGTGAAATGAGACGAATCAGCTTTTAATCTGAGGGTGCAAACTCAGATTAGGTTAAAAGGCTTTTACCTGTTTGGTTTCTAGTGTTGGACTGAGAGGTGGTAGGCACGTTGTCTTGTTGTGAGGAAGTTGGGGTGGTGATAGAGTCAGTCCTTAGTGTATGATCCCCCTCGTGTGGACGACGGGTCGTTATGACGGCGAAAATGTGCGGTGTGTGTGGTGTGGAGGGTTTCACTGTTGGTGGATTGATCTTTGACTCATTACAGATTACATCAGAGGTAGCACTTCCAGACTGTTTTACTCCTGCTGGACAGCTAGAATTTTGAAAAAGTTAAATTAAACATGAGCTTATTATAGCTTAAACAGAAGTGGTTTAAACTGAGTTTCTATTTCTGAAACAAACACCCTACTGTGTCCATTCTTTACAAGGTGAGTTGACAGTTTTGCTGAAAGATCCTTCTTTGCATTTTGAACAAACTAGTTGGGGAACACAAAAATTATTTTAAATAAAACAAAGACAACAGATTTTGATGATGAAAACAGTCAGACGCATTACCTCCATCCTGGAGTCCAAACCCTGGGTCACATCGGCACAAGACAGAATCTTCTGTCAAAGGAACAAAACCATCTCGACACTTGCATTTTCTGTTTGTCAGTAAGGTGCATTCCCTATCGGTGGAACTCCCTGACTCTGAAAAAAACATGAATACAATCTTTTAAAGTTTAAACAAAAAAGAGATCCACTTTAAATGTGAAGTGCTTTTCACATGAAATTCCTCTTTATGGTTTTCACTTTGTCTAATTATTCAGTTCCTCTTTTTTATTTATAAGAATACTGGAAAGACCCAAATAGTTTATGATGTTAGAACCAGTCTCATCACCAGTATTTGTTGAGGAGAAAAGCTTAAGGGAAAATAATTCTACAGTGAGAAAACTGAATCAGAAAGAGCATAGCCGGATCTCAGCTTCAGAACTAAGACATGACTGAAATGCTCTTTTTAGTTTTCGTTTAGCAGCATTTCACAGAGTTTTCCTTAGAAAAGTTGGAACTCTTACTTTCGTTACACTCCACACATCCAAGGCAACTTCCAGTATCATTTTCTATTGGCTGAAAATATCCATCAGGGCAGGGTTCACATGTAGATTTACGAAAAGCTATTCTGTGACCTTTGGAAATTAGATCAGGAACAGATAAAAACCACATGTCTTAATTATACTGACATACTTGAAACAAAAGAAAAAGAGCAAAAACAAATTAAAAGGATATGTTTAACACAAGAAAGTTTTTTTTTTTTTACCTTTTTCGCACATCAAACCATTTAAATCTAGGATGAGTTCACCAAATGTTAGAATTAAAACAAACAGATTCAACTGAAGCATGTTTGGTCGCCCGTTACCAGCCGTGCCTGGGTGTTCTGAGTGAGCAACCAACTGAGAGTGAGACAGAAACTCCCGAAAGGGGAGTGGGTTTTCTAAAACCACATCATTTACGTCAGTCATTCGCTTCTTTGAAATCTTTTTTTTTTTGCAGCAAAATGATTCTATCAATATCTTTAAAATTAGTTAAGTGTGCAGTTTTTTTTAATACATAGATTTTTTTTTTTTTTTTTTTTTTTGTATTTTGGAAAATCTGTTGATATTTGAAAAGTTTTCTGACTAGGGACTGATCATTTATACCAAAAATCTGTGGTTTAGGTTTTGTAGGGTTTCAGGTAAAATAAGCAAAACTTGTAGAGTTCAGCTGTTGTATCAGACAAAAATTGTTTTACTATAGTCCTCAAATTGTTAGGAATCAAATGTGACAATTCCAGCAGAAATAAACTATCTTGGTTAGACTTAGGTGCTCAAACTGTATCTACGTTTTTCAGCCTTTCTCGAAAGCCGTGAACCACTTTAGGAGGGTATTCATCCAGATTTTAAAAGAAAAAAATCTGAAAAGCTGGCCAGCATTGATGAATGTAATAATTTGAGCAGATGGGGATTTAAAATGATGCCCCAATAATTAAAAAGACTAGAAATGACTGAAGCAGCAACTAATTAGCAAAAAGCTGCAAAACAGGACAAAAAACCTGTTACCAGAAAATAATTAGCCTGCAATTTATTCTCAGCTTGTTTTCTGTTAAAACCAATGACTGTTTATAAAATGGACAAACCCTCCGTGCCGTCACCCGTAGTTTCTGAAGAGCTAAAGTGGAGTCCAATGGGTGGTTCCCACCACCGCCATCTTTGCTGTGTCACTCGTCACGCCCATCGACATAAACATACTGGACATCTCCTTTCCATAGGCTCCAATATCACGTTTTTGAGGCCAAATGGGAGGTGGCCACCACCGCCATTTTGACCGTGTCACAGGTTCCATCAAGCCCAGACAATTCCACAAAAGGAAAGAGAGGAGGAGCTGAGGGTGGGGCTGTAAGGCTGGGATCACCCGGCCGAACTAGCTACAAGCTAACCTGAAGCTAACCCTGGCTAACCCAAAGCTAACACGGAGGTGGGAGCTAAGCTAACGGAGGTAGCAACCTAGCTACAACCGGAGTTAACTGTGCACAACACCAGAGCTTCTGAGTCAGAGATACGCCGGGCTGACCGCTGGGTAAAACCGGGTGGAACACAGAGGTCTACGAGACCTCCACAAGCCGGCAGCTGCACAGCAGACAAGCGCCACTGCGATCTGAGATGCGCAGAGCTGCCGCTGGGGAGAACCGGGTGGAAAGGTTTCCATCCCAGAGCTCCACAAGCTGGCAGCCCGCGCATCAAACAGAAGCCGCGATCAGACAGAGATGCGCCGGGCTGCGGGGAGGGGAGAACGGGTGGAAAACATCGGTCTCCCGAGAGCTCCACAAGCCGATAGTCGGAACCCAGCTCCACCAACGTGTTATATTTCAACCCATTTTCTAAAATGCAGCATTATGTTAAATGCACTGGGTTTTACCCTATTACATTTAAATTTCATGGTTAAACAGTACATGTTAAAATCTAAGCTCATCTAGTGCAAGAGCGGCAGTGACCTAAAATACATAAATATAATTTTACTTACCGAAAAAAATGAAGTGGAGACTCCTTGGACACTCTATTAGTGCAATTAATGCCACAGCAAGTCATTTTGTCCAACAATTGCACAAAAAATATCCAAAAAAGAATACACAAACACAGAGACTCAAAATGCCGGAACAGTTTCCAGGCCAGACTGAGGGTCTACTGAGGCCTTTCCACGGAGCTAGCTCTGTGGTCACGTGGGTCTGATGTCCAGATGTTTCGCTGGAATGTAAATTTGTAATCCTTGCAATCTTTAGGTTGTACCCTTACCTGAAGAAGAAGGAATCTCTGAATAAAATACATGAGCTCTGCACCATTTATTGTGTCTTAAACAGTCTAACAAATATGGTCACATAAACCTTTACATGACTTGATGGATGAACATATAAAAAATAATTTATAACAAGCTGAGTTGCTAGTTTATTTTTATTTTTTTACTTATTCATGCTGCTTTCCGCCATCCTAACGTATTTATGAGTCAGTTGTCATGTTAATGTATTTTCAACAACAAAATTCAAGAAAATGTCTTAAAAAACATGTTTTCCTATGCAGTGTACTATAACAACTTTTACATAAAGTGTTTTCCGGTCCCTTTGTCAGCACCAGACATAATAAATGTTAGTTTTAGGAAACAAGATGTTGTCTTTTATTTTGGAGTAGAGTCTTTTGCCGTGTTTACCCATTTTCCGCATCTTCTGCTCTTTTAGGGAAAAAAAGTACGCTGTGGTTTTGCTGTCGGAAACTCTGCAGCTTTCTGTTGTTTTGCCAGTAAGAACATGAAACAATGCGTTTGCATATGGAGTGCACATGGAAACACCACACACAAGCGATTGAGAAGCAAGACAGGTGCATGTTTAGACAGCGGATGCTCATGAAACGACTCCTCCGGAGAGCTGACTGACTGCTTTTAGCCTTTGAAAACATTTTCAAAAACAGCAACAGAAATTCTTAAATTATGCAAAGATTCAAAGTTTAAATAATTTTCAAATATCATCGTGAAGGAGTTACATTTTTTTTGCAAGGGGTTATGAGGTAACTCATTCACTCACTGGTTTGATGAGTCACTGTTGTTGGTTTTTTTTTTTTTTTGTTTTTTGTTTTTTTTTTTTTTTTTTTACCACAAAGAAAAAATTATCAGTGCCAACTCATTCATTGTTTTTACTGAAAACTCACATCAGACGACAATCTTTTGTCTGTGGCAAAATCATAGACTGTACATATACTGGACAAACCAAGCCCCCACAATGCCGCTCAGAAAATGGTCCCAACCCGGAAGTAAGAAAAATTGCAGTTCCACCCTCATCCGCTGGGGGCTGGTACCAGAAGCGAGCAAATCCTCATTGACTCCCATGTTAAAAATGCCATTTTCACAGCAGAAATAAACATGTTTACAGCCTGGTTCAAAAAATGGTTTTTCGTCTAAATTATCTAGTTTATACTCATGACAACTCTGAGGGGGGTGAATTTTTTTCTCACTCTTCTGTTTAAGTGTATTGAAAGCCTAAAATTCTGTATAATTAATGAGCATCCGACACACGTGACCGCCGCCTCAGACCCACGTGACCACAGAGCTAGCTCCGTGGAAAGGCCTCAGTACAGCCTCGGTCTCTCCTGGAAACTGTGTCGGGATTTTGAGTCTCTGTGCTTGTGAATTCTGTTTTGGATAATATTGGTGCAATTGTTGGACAAAATGACTTGCTGTGGTATTAATTGCACTAATAGAGCGTCCAAGGAGTCTCCACTTCATTTTTTTCGGTAAGTTAAAATCTATATTTGTATTTTATGTCACTGCTGCCTTTAAACTAGCTGAGTTTACCGAAGTAGCTAGCTAACTATCAGTTTAACATGTAGCATGTACTGTTTAACCATGAAATTTAAATGTAAAATACGGTAAAATAATTAATAGGGCATATTTAAATGGGTAATAGGGTAAAACCCAGTGCATTTAAGATAAAAATGGGTTGAAATATGACGGGGGGCGCCGCTTGGGGGGACACTTCTGTGCTCTATTCTTTCATCCGGTAATCCCCAGCGGTCAGGCCGGGCAAGCTGATCGATGCGGCGCCTCGCTGCTGCGGGCTGACCGCTCGTGGAACTCGGAGACAGATCTGACCGGAGAAATACTGCAGCTCGTTGAGAAGTCTATAGGGCATACAGCGTTTCCCTTAAATCCCACTGCCACGCCGACAAGATCCCAAGTTTCTTTGTTTTTGTTGGCGCTGTTTACCGAAGAAGCAGCGGGAATACCAGCAACTTTCATCAGACTCGTAAAGTTAGTTTTTGCAGGGGACCCCCTGTATTTTACTGCTCCCTCCTGCAGTCTTCCCCTATTAAAATTTAAAATGTGTAACTTCATGTATTGTGATGAATGACTAATATTCATGTTAACTAAAACGTTAGGTATTTAGGGGGAAAAAATTAAATAATAAACATTATACAGATGTCAAATAAATCAAACTGTAATTAAACTATATATTTTCAAAGTCTTGATTCTGGATAAAGTCCAACAACATATGCTTTATAAATAAACACTACACATGGCTTTTACACACACACACACACACACACACACACGTTACATTGTGATTTCTTAGTAAATATTCTATTTGGCGAGAGATAAACTTTATTGTATTTATCCTAGTGAATCTATAATTAAACGGGTAAACTAGCAGTAGTACATCCAACATCAAAGAAAGTAAAATGTTATTATCAGGAGAGGGAGAATGATTAAGTGGTTAGCAGCAGTGTGCTAGACGATGGCCCCCTCCATGAGGCCACCACAGCTCAGCAGAACATCATTGTAGCTTCTTCTGGGGAGAAAAACACTTACAGAAAAAATAAAGTTAACAGCTGAAATAGCAGGAAATAATACAGTTAAAGAGCATATTGTAGAAGAAAGAAACCCCTGGGTTAAACTGGTCTGTCTACTGCATAATGCTGAACTCTAACATGTGTCCTCAGGGAAGGACCTGATTGGTGTCCAGAACCTGCTGAAGAAGCACGAGGCTCTGCAGGCTGAGATCACAGGTCATGAACCTCGCATCAAGGCTGTCACCCAGAAAGGAGAGACCATAATGGAGGAAGGTAGAGCAGGTCTGGTCCTGACATGTTTCTGAGGTGTCTGCAGGTTCTGGCTCACTTTGTTTGGGTCCAGGTCACTTCGCTGGTTCAGAACCCTCGGCCCGTCAGAACATTCTTATCCACCACGTTCTAACACCAGACCCGTTAACCCGACAGCAACAAGTGGCTCCAACTGACGATGAGACCGGGAAGGAGCTGGTTCTGGCTCTGTACGACTACCAGGAGAAGAGTCCTGGAGAGGTCACCATGAAGAAGGGCGACATCCTCACGCTGCTCAACAGCACCAACAAGGTTCGTGTGCCCTTCACAGCCGAGGAACGACCTCCAGCTCAGAGCGAACATCTCCACACCTGCTTTGTGTTTGTGTGACTTTAGGTTGTTTTACTTGAACTCGCGTCTTTAGCTGAATGAGGATGGAGAGACGGGTCGGACCTGGAGCAGGTCGAGGTCTTGCAGAAGAAGTTTGACGACTTCCAGAAGGTCGGACTTTTCCTCCTCTCCGTCTTCCAGCAGCAGCTGTCAGATCAGCTCAGGTGATAATCAGCAGGTGCTTTTGTCCTGCAGGACCTGAAGGCCAACGAGTCCCGCCTGAGGGACATCAACAAGGTGGCATCTGAACTGGAGTCAGAAGGTCTGATGGCTGAGGAGGCTCCTATGGTTCAGGCTCAGGTGAGCGTCACCTGTCTGCAGCAGCTGGTCCCTCTCACTTCCTGGTTTGTTAACTCTGCTCGTCTCTGTTTGTAGCAACAAGAACATCTGGGTTCTGCTCCTGGAAAGGTGCGTGTTGTCCTCCGCCTCCACCAGAACCAGACGTGGTGTTTTTGTTACCACTCATTTGTTTGTTTACAGGATGAAGCCGACTCTAACACCGGCTTTCCACAGCAGCCGTCAGCAGCACGTTACTGCAGCAGCACGTCATAGCTGCTGATAGGAACCGCTGTGGTCAACAGAACCTTTTCCACTGGAGCCGTCAGCAGCGCGAGTCGGCCACGTCTCAGGAGCAGCATGTCGCGGCCTTTACGCGCCGATTCTATTTTCTACGCGCGACGCCTCTGAAACGGGTCAAGTTCGACATTTTTGGGGAAGGAAAGACAGGAAATCGGACGCGGAAATTGAGAGAAGCTACCGAGATTTTCAGAATAAAGAACGTACTGCCTTCCGGTTGCTTTACTTTTAAAAAAGGTTACTAACTGTGCGTCCCCGTGAGAAGTTATCACCTAGCTAGCGGTCTCCTTTGTTTTTCAGGTCCGTATTGGCGATTATAAAACGGACAGAACATAAAACAAAAACCATGTTGTAGTTTTCTCCTGCTTGTTGTTGTGTTTACTGACGAAGTCACTCGAGTGACTTCGTGCTCGGTCGGTGACAGCTGCTCCCCTGCTGCTTCGCGTCTCGTGGGAAGGGCCAAGCAGCAGCTTACGCGAGCAAGACGTGCTGCTGCAGTAACGTGCTGCTGACGGCTCCCGTGGAAACCCGGGGTAACACGGCGTCACCCTGGAAGGTGAGTTCATTCAGCTGATCAGAGGTCACCTCTGATGGCCGCAGTCACGGCCGACCGTGCTGACATCACACAGGAATTCAGGTGACCCGGCAGGCACCAGGTGCTGGTGAAAGTGGGGACATGTCAGCTGGTTGCCATGGCTACAGTTATCTTTATGCATCTGTATGACTGCTGACTGGTGTGTGTTTCCTGTGACCTTTGACCTCAGACCGTACGGTTGGGCGTTCAGACGACGGCTAACTTTAATTCCATCAAGGTAAGAGGAAGCTCTTCCCTTCCTGTCTGAGCGATCCGTCTCCAGGTTTCCTCGTCCGGCGTCCAGCCCGCTGGCGTCCACCTTCATCTCACTGGGTTTGGTTTCTCTCCAGGAGCTGAACAACCGCTGGCGCTCGCTGCAACAGCTGGCTGAAGACCGGAGCAACATGCTGGGCAGCGCCCATGAGGTGTAGCGCTTCCACAGGTACCCCGCACACTTATGCGCCGCTTACGGGTCAGTAGAGTTTGGACCCACACTCAGACGGAGTTCTGATGTCTTCTCAGAGACGCTGATGAGACCAAAGAGTGGATCGAGGAGAAGAACCAGGCCCTGAACACAGACAACTACGGCCACCACCTGGCCAGCGTTCAGGCTCTGCAGCGTGAACATGAAGGCTTTGAGCGTGACCTGGCAGCTCTGGGTGATAAGGTCCGCTTTCCTGATCGGTACCAGGACCCGAGTTGTCTCTGGAGACACGTTCTTCATGGTTCTGGTGACTCCACCCCAGCCGTTCCTGATCAGCGATCAGCGGGGTGCTTTCCTATTTATGGTGGATGGAGGACACAATTTGACGCCAGAAGATTGCCTCAGTTTTGGTAGTAACCAGCCACTCGTGTTACCTCTAGTGTTCCTAGGATTAATGTTATTTCGTAGTGTTTTTGCTCTTATATTGGATTTACCATTCTTCAGGATTCCTGTCGACCTCATTGGATACTGACCTCTACTCCAGGATTTGGATATTCAACACACGGACCATATCACCAGCCTCCATAACCCACCTCTCATCTCACCCGTTGCCCCATCCACCAGGACGCCCCGCTTCTCTCCACCTCTGCTCCCTCTCCTGCGCTTCCCCCGGCTCTCTACCTCTCTCTCCTCCAGCCAACACATACACCCACCACAGTAAGTCTGCTGAACACCTCTGCCTGCCTACAATGGATTTTGAAACCAGAACCTAAGCTCACCTGTGTTCTCCCTCCTCCAGATGCTGAGCTGTTGTTGCAGTTCCAACCACAGACTTATCTGTGCACCTTAAGTTCCTCCTTATAAAGAAATCATTTTTTCCATCAGTTTTTGGTCAGTGTTGTATTCTGCATGTCTTGGGTTAAGTACCTTCCTCCAAACATGACACTCCTCTTCAAAGAGCAAATCTGTTCAGCACATTCTGACAGACAGACCACCATTCTTCTGTCATGATGCTGTACAGGACATTTTTAGAGTTTTTCTTTTTAAAGATAAATAGGATTACATTTAAATAGCAATACTTTCACATTATCATTTTCCCACACTTCTGTATAACTGTATTTTGTTGTTTTTCAATAAAGAATGACAAACTATTTAAGTTTGGATTTGTTGCACACAAATATATATCTGTAAAAAATATCTACAAAGCTAATGTTTACATAACAAGTATGATTGGGTTTTGCAATACGGCACTATTTTAGTAAGATTTTTAAACCAAGTAAAGTTAGTAAAGAACACATTTCTATTGTCTGCTAAGAAACTGTTGGGATTTAAAATGGGCCTGTTGTACAAATAACTTGTAAATGATTATTCCTCACTTTTGTCTTAACCAAAGAAATTCCAGTAATTGAGCAAAAACATTTATTTTTAACACTACAGTTTATAAAACAGGGCGCAAAGTGTCGGCACATGTATGTATGTCGATGGTCCGTCCCATCCAAACCAGGAGACACAGACGTCAGGGAGGCCAAGGTTGTCTCTGCAGCTCTCTGGGCACCACGCCTCACTCAGCTGTCTCCAATGATCCAAATGGCTATGGAGAAAAAATAACAGGTTTGTCATAATTGTTTAAAGTACAAAACCATACATGAAGTGGTGAGACAGGTATGTGGAACTTAAACTTGCTGCTTTGTGTAGCTGATGTTGGAGACACACAGGCTGCCATGGTGACATTTAAACAGATCTAACAAAAAAATTAAAATTAAAAACTCCCAGACCTCATGTCATATTTACTAATCAGCTATGGCTGATTTATTGTTTGGATCACAGTGAGTTACACTAATTCTAATATATTTTTATTTCTATTATACATACATACTTTTTAACTGTTATTTTCACGACTGTTATCAGGCTCTCTTGTTCTGGTTCTGATGATAATTCCGTGTCTTCCAGTAAGTTATCTTGTGCTTACTTCATCTGTAGAATGTCTCTTTACTTTTGGTAAATTGTACTGAGTCCAGAATAAAGACTAGTTGGCTGTACAAGATACAAACAAGTATAACATTTTGGAAATATATGAAATGTATTTACGCTGCTAATTTAGCTCGAATACTAATAACTGCAATATTTTTCGGACTATAACTCGCACTTTTTTACATATTCTGGCTGGTCCTGCTACTTATACTCCGGAGCGACTTATATAACAAAATATGTAGGCTACACCGCGCTGCTGCGGGCCGACTCCGACCCACACAAGAATGAGTCCCCCTGTCCCGCTGGGAGGGTTTCAAACACCGCCAGCATCTGTTAGAGCCTGTGGCGGGGTGCTGAGGGCCGGCTCCAGCCCAGGAATGAGCTGTCCTCGCCGGCCGGGAGGGTTTGAAACACCGCCATCCTCTCCTCTGCTGGCTGCTGTTCATTCTGTTATGGTTACCGGTGCTTGTGTTGCAATGTGAAACGCTTGGTCTCAGATTTTGTAAGGAAGATAATAAAATGTCCCCCCAAAATACGACTTAAATATATTTTCTCTTATTCATGATACATTTAATGGCTGGTGCGACTCAGGAGTGATAGCGCCGAAAAAAACTGTACTGAAAACTTGCTCAAAGCAAAATGTTTTCATTACGGAAATAAATTATAAACTTACCGATTTAAAACTTTTTTAATACAGGTACTTCTCACGAACAGGCGCAGAAAACCTCCACCTAAACTCCGTGTAAGGTTCAGGTCGATGGGTGTTCCAGTTAGCTCCGGTTGGGTTGAAGCTAGGTGGCTACATCCGTTAGCTCGGCTCCCACCTCCGCTTTAGCTTTGGGTTAGCCAGGGTTAGCTTCAGGTTAGCTCGTAGCTAGTTCGCCTGGGTGTCGTCACTCGAGCCCAGCCTTACAGCCACACCCTCAGCGCCTCCTCTCTTCCCTTTTATGGAATTGTCTGGGCTGGACGGAACCTGTGACACGGTCAAAATGGCGGTGGTGGCCACCTCCCATTATAGACAACAAACGTGTTATTGAAGCCAATGTAATCCGTTTGTCCCATAGACTGTACATATACTGGACAAACGGATTACATTGGCTTCAATAACACGTTTGTTGTCTATAATGGGAGGTGGCCACCACCGCCATTTTGACCGTGTCACAGGTTCCGTCCAGCCCAGACAATTCCATAAAAGGGAAGAGAGGAGGCGCTGAGGGTGTGGCTGTAAGGCTGGGCTCGAGTGACGACACCCAGGCGAACTAGCTACGAGCTAACCTGAAGCTAACCCTGGCTAACCCAAAGCTAAAGCGGAGGTGGGAGCCGAGCTAACGGATGTAGCCACCTAGCTTCAACCCAACCGGAGCTAACTGGAACACCCATCGACCTGAACCTTACACGGAGTTTAGGTGGAGGTTTTCTGCGCCTGTTCGTGAGAAGTACCTGTATTAAAAAAGTTTTAAATCGGTAAGTTTATAATTTATTTCCGTAATGAAAACATTTTGCTTTGAGCAAGTTTTCAGTACAGTTTTTTTCGGCGCTATCACTCCTGAGTCGCACCAGCCATTAAATGTATCATGAATAAGAGAAAATATATTTAAGTCGTATTTTGGGGGGACATTTTATTATCTTCCTTACAAAATCTGAGACCAAGCGTTTCCACATTGCAACACAAGCACCGGTAACCATAACAGAATGAACAGCAGCCAGCAGAGGAGAGGATGGCGGTGTTTCAAACCCTCCCGGCCGGCGAGGACAGCTCATTCCTGGGCTGGAGCCGGCCCTCAGCACCCCGCCACAGGCTCTAACAGATGCTGGCGGTGTTTGAAACCCTCCCAGCGGGACAGGGGGACTCATTCTTGTGTGGGTCGGAGTCGGCCCGCAGCAGCGCGGTGTAGCCTACATATTTTGTTATATAAGTCGCTCCGGAGTATAAGTAGCAGGACCAGCCAGAATATGTAAAAAAGTGCGAGTTATAGTCCGAAAAATATTGCAGTTATTAGTATTCGAGCTAAATTAGCAGCGTAAATACATTTCATATATTTCCAAAATGTTATACTTGTTTGTATCTTGTACAGCCAACTAGTCTTTATTCTGGACTCAGTACAATTTACCAAAAGTAAAGAGACATTCTACAGATGAAGTAAGCACAAGATAACTTACTGGAAGACACGGAATTATCATCAGAACCAGAACAAGAGAGCCTGATAACAGTCGTGAAAATAACAGTTAAAAAGTATGTATGTATAATAGAAATAAAAATATATTAGAATTAGTGTAACTCACTGTGATCCAAACAATAAATCAGCCATAGCTGATTAGTAAATATGACATGAGGTCTGGGAGTTTTTAATTTTAATTTTTTTGTTAGATCTGTTTAAATGTCACCATGGCAGCCTGTGTGTCTCCAACATCAGCTACACAAAGCAGCAAGTTTAAGTTCCACATACCTGTCTCACCACTTCATGTATGGTTTTGTACTTTAAACAATTATGACAAACCTGTTATTTTTTCTCCATAGCCATTTGGATCATTGGAGACAGCTGAGTGAGGCGTGGTGCCCAGAGAGCTGCAGAGACAACCTTGGCCTCCCTGACGTCTGTGTCTCCTGGTTTGGATGGGACGGACCATCGACATACATACATGTGCCGACACTTTGCGCCCTGTTTTATAAACTGTAGTGTTAAAAATAAATGTTTTTGCTCAATTACTGGAATTTCTTTGGTTAAGACAAAAGTGAGGAATAATCATTTACAAGTTATTTGTACAACAGGCCCATTTTAAATCCCAACAGTTTCTTAGCAGACAATAGAAATGTGTTCTTTACTAACTTTACTTGGTTTAAAAATCTTACTAAAATAGTGCCGTATTGCAAAACCCAATCATACTTGTTATGTAAACATTAGCTTTGTAGATATTTTTTACAGATATATATTTGTGTGCAACAAATCCAAACTTAAATAGTTTGTCATTCTTTATTGAAAAACAACAAAATACAGTTATACAGAAGTGTGGGAAAATGATAATGTGAAAGTATTGCTATTTAAATGTAATCCTATTTATCTTTAAAAAGAAAAACTCTAAAAATGTCCTGTACAGCATCATGACAGAAGAATGGTGGTCTGTCTGTCAGAATGTGCTGAACAGATTTGCTCTTTGAAGAGGAGTGTCATGTTTGGAGGAAGGTACTTAACCCAAGACATGCAGAATACAACACTGACCAAAAACTGATGGAAAAAATGATTTCTTTATAAGGAGGAACTTAAGGTGCACAGATAAGTCTGTGGTTGGAACTGCAACAACAGCTCAGCATCTGGAGGAGGGAGAACACAGGTGAGCTTAGGTTCTGGTTTCAAAATCCATTGTAGGCAGGCAGAGGTGTTCAGCAGACTTACTGTGGTGGGTGTATGTGTTGGCTGGAGGAGAGAGAGGTAGAGAGCCGGGGGAAGCGCAGGAGAGGGAGCAGAGGTGGAGAGAAGCGGGGCGTCCTGGTGGATGGGGCAACGGGTGAGATGAGAGGTGGGTTATGGAGGCTGGTGATATGGTCCGTGTGTTGAATATCCAAATCCTGGAGTAGAGGTCAGTATCCAATGAGGTCGACAGGAATCCTGAAGAATGGTAAATCCAATATAAGAGCAAAAACACTACGAAATAACATTAATCCTAGGAACACTAGAGGTAACACGAGTGGCTGGTTACTACCAAAACTGAGGCAATCTTCTGGCGTCAAATTGTGTCCTCCATCCACCATAAATAGGAAAGCACCCCGCTGATCGCTGATCAGGAACGGCTGGGGTGGAGTCACCAGAACCATGAAGAACGTGTCTCCAGAGACAACTCGGGTCCTGGTACCGATCAGGAAAGCGGACCTTATCACCCAGAGCTGCCAGGTCACGCTCAAAGCCTTCATGTTCACGCTGCAGAGCCTGAACGCTGGCCAGGTGGTGGCCGTAGTTGTCTGTGTTCAGGGCCTGGTTCTTCTCCTCGATCCACTCTTTGGTCTCATCAGCGTCTCTGAGAAGACATCAGAACTCCGTCTGAGTGTGGGTCCAAACTCTACTGACCCGTAAGCGGCGCATAAGTGTGCGGGGTACCTGTGGAAGCGCTACACCTCATGGGCGCTGCCCAGCATGTTGCTCCGGTCTTCAGCCAGCTGTTGCAGCGAGCGCCAGCGGTTGTTCAGCTCCTGGAGAGAAACCAAACCCAGTGAGATGAAGGTGGACGCCAGCGGGCTGGACGCCGGACGAGGAAACCTGGAGACGGATCGCTCAGACAGGAAGGGAAGAGCTTCCTCTTACCTTGATGGAATTAAAGTTAGCCGTCGTCTGAACGCCCAACCGTACGGTCTGAGGTCAAAGGTCACAGGAAACACACACCAGTCAGCAGTCATACAGATGCATAAAGATAACTGTAGCCATGGCAACCAGCTGACATGTCCCCACTTTCACCAGCACCTGGTGCCTGCCGGGTCACCTGAATTCCTGTGTGATGTCAGCACGGTCGGCCGTGACTGCGGCCATCAGAGGTGACCTCTGATCAGCTGAATGAACTCACCTTCCAGGGTGACGCCGTGTTACCCCGGGTTTCCACGGGAGCCGTCAGCAGCACGTTACTGCAGCAGCACGTCTTGCTCGCGTAAGCTGCTGCTTGGCCCTTCCCACGAGACGCGAAGCAGCAGGGGAGCAGCTGTCACCGACCGAGCACGAAGTCACTCGAGTGACTTCGTCAGTAAACACAACAACAAGCAGGAGAAAACTACAACATGGTTTTTGTTTTATGTTCTGTCCGTTTTATAATCGCCAATACGGACCTGAAAAACAAAGGAGACCGCTAGCTAGGTGATAACTTCTCACGGGGACGCACAGTTAGTAACCTTTTTTAAAAGTAAAGCAACCGGAAGGCAGTACGTTCTTTATTCTGAAAATCTCGGTAGCTTCTCTCAATTTCCGCGTCCGATTTCCTGTCTTTCCTTCCCCAAAAATGTCGAACTTGACCCGTTTCAGAGGCGTCGCGCGTAGAAAATAGAATCGGCGCGTAAAGGCCGCGACATGCTGCTCCTGAGACGTGGCCGACTCGCGCTGCTGACGGCTCCAGTGGAAAAGGTTCTGTTGACCACAGCGGTTCCTATCAGCAGCTATGACGTGCTGCTGCAGTAACGTGCTGCTGACGGCTGCTGTGGAAAGCCGGGGTTAGAGTCGGCTTCATCCTGTAAACAAACAAATGAGTGGTAACAAAAACACCACGTCTGGTTCTGGTGGAGGCGGAGGACAACACGCACCTTTCCAGGAGCAGAACCCAGATGTTCTTGTTGCTACAAACAGAGACGAGCAGAGTTAACAAACCAGGAAGTGAGAGGGACCAGCTGCTGCAGACAGGTGACGCTCACCTGAGCCTGAACCATAGGAGCCTCCTCAGCCATCAGACCTTCTGACTCCAGTTCAGATGCCACCTTGTTGATGTCCCTCAGGCGGGACTCGTTGGCCTTCAGGTCCTGCAGGACAAAAGCACCTGCTGATTATCACCTGAGCTGATCTGACAGCTGCTGCTGGAAGACGGAGAGGAGGAAAAGTCCGACCTTCTGGAAGTCGTCAAACTTCTTCTGCAAGACCTCGACCTGCTCCAGGTCCGACCCGTCTCTCCATCCTCATTCAGCTAAAGACGCGAGTTCAAGTAAAATAACCTAAAGTCACACAAACACAAAGCAGGTGTGGAGATGTTCGCTCTGAGCTGGAGGTCGTTCCTCGGCTGTGAAGGGCACACGAACCTTGTTGGTGCTGTTGAGCAGCGTGAGGATGTCGCCCTTCTTCATGGTGACCTCTCCAGGACTCTTCTCCTGGTAGTCGTACAGAGCCAGAACCAGCTCCTTCCCGGTCTCATCGTCAGTTGGAGCCACTTGTTGCTGTCGGGTTAACGGGTCTGGTGTTAGAACGTGGTGGATAAGAATGTTCTGACGGGCCGAGGGTTCTGAACCAGCGAAGTGACCTGGACCCAAACAAAGTGAGCCAGAACCTGCAGACACCTCAGAAACATGTCAGGACCAGACCTGCTCTACCTTCCTCCATTATGGTCTCTCCTTTCTGGGTGACAGCCTTGATGCGAGGTTCATGACCTGTGATCTCAGCCTGCAGAGCCTCGTGCTTCTTCAGCAGGTTCTGGACACCAATCAGGTCCTTCCCTGAGGACACATGTTAGAGTTCAGCATTATGCAGTAGACAGACCAGTTTAACCCAGGGGTTTCTTTCTTCTACAATATGCTCTTTAACTGTATTATTTCCTGCTATTTCAGCTGTTAACTTTATTTTTTCTGTAAGTGTTTTTCTCCCCAGAAGAAGCTACAATGATGTTCTGCTGAGCTGTGGTGGCCTCATGGAGGGGGCCATCGTCTAGCACACTGCTGCTAACCACTTAATCATTCTCCCTCTCCTGATAATAACATTTTACTTTCTTTGATGTTGGATGTACTACTGCTAGTTTACCCGTTTAATTATAGATTCACTAGGATAAATACAATAAAGTTTATCTCTCGCCAAATAGAATATTTACTAAGAAATCACAATGTAACGTGTGTGTGTGTGTGTGTGTGTGTGTGTGTGTGTAAAAGCCATGTGTAGTGTTTATTTATAAAGCATATGTTGTTGGACTTTATCCAGAATCAAGACTTTGAAAATATATAGTTTAATTACAGTTTGATTTATTTGACATCTGTATAATGTTTATTATTTAATTTTTTCCCCCTAAATACCTAACGTTTTAGTTAACATGAATATTAGTCATTCATCACAATACATGAAGTTACACATTTTAAATTTTAATAGGGGAAGACTGCAGGAGGGAGCAGTAAAATACAGGGGGTCCCCTGCAAAAACTAACTTTACGAGTCTGATGAAAGTTGCTGGTATTCCCGCTGCTTCTTCGGTAAACAGCGCCAACAAAAACAAAGAAACTTGGGATCTTGTCGGCGTGGCAGTGGGATTTAAGGGAAACGCTGTATGCCCTATAGACTTCTCAACGAGCTGCAGTATTTCTCCGGTCAGATCTGTCTCCGAGTTCCACGAGCGGTCAGCCCGCAGCAGCGAGGCGCCGCATCGATCAGCTTGCCCGGCCTGACCGCTGGGGATTACCGGATGAAAGAATAGAGCACAGAAGTGTCCCCCCAAGCGGCGCCCCCCGTCATATTTCAACCCATTTTTATCTTAAATGCACTGGGTTTTACCCTATTACCCATTTAAATATGCCCTATTAATTATTTTACCGTATTTTACATTTAAATTTCATGGTTAAACAGTACATGCTACATGTTAAACTGATAGTTAGCTAGCTACTTCGGTAAACTCAGCTAGTTTAAAGGCAGCAGTGACATAAAATACAAATATAGATTTTAACTTACCGAAAAAAATGAAGTGGAGACTCCTTGGACGCTCTATTAGTGCAATTAATACCACAGCAAGTCATTTTGTCCAACAATTGCACCAATATTATCCAAAACAGAATTCACAAGCACAGAGACTCAAAATCCCGACACAGTTTCCAGGAGAGACCGAGGCTGTACTGAGGCCTTTCCACGGAGCTAGCTCTGTGGTCACGTGGGTCTGAGGCGGCGGTCACGTGTGTCGGATGCTCATTAATTATACAGAATTTTAGGCTTTCAATACACTTAAACAGAAGAGTGAGAAAAAAATTCACCCCCCTCAGAGTTGTCATGAGTATAAACTAGATAATTTAGACGAAAAACCATTTTTTGAACCAGGCTGTAAACATGTTTATTTCTGCTGTGAAAATGGCATTTTTAACATGGGAGTCAATGAGGATTTGCTCGCTTCTGGTACCAGCCCCCAGCGGATGAGGGTGGAACTGCAATTTTTCTTACTTCCGGGTTGGGACCATTTTCTGAGCGGCATTGTGGGGGCTTGGGCAAAATGATTCTTACAGTTTGACAAAAACAGCTTGTTGTGCACGTTGAGGTTAGGAGGTTTGGACCCAAAATGCAAGAACCCTAGCCCAGTGAACTAGACCAAATTCTTGCTTTGCAAAGTTTGATATATATTCACATATGTAGTCTGGCTTGCCAGGCTACAAGAACGCAGATCTACACAGGAAGGACCGGTAGCAAAAATAAGAATCCTTTATTTTTGGAGGAGTGACACACACACACACACACACACACACACACACACACACACACACACACAGATATATAATACAGGGGTTCTTAATGACACTTTTTCTTTGTAATGTTTGATTTTAAGCTGTTTTCCAAAAACATTTTAAAATTTATTGCAATTTTGCCAGAATTCTAACGGATCCCACTTCAAAACCTCTGTGTCCAGTGGTGGATCGAGAACATTTCACGGTGGGGGTGCAGGATTGAGTGTATAAGTGGTAAATGCAGGGTGGCAATGCTTGATCTCCTTTAGTAAATGAAGATCCCCCTTATGTAAATGGATGTAAATGATCAATCTACCAGAAAATCAATAAAACTTATGTATTATCTCATGATTTCTTCTAAGAAAACTAAGACAATTTTAGGTGTAAATGATAAAAACAACGTTCCATAAAATAAACACAGAAATAGATAAAAACAGAAAACAAATGCAGAAAACTATTACTGAACAGAACTGACCATCTTGGCTAGCCAGGGGAGGTTATGTTGATTTAACATCCAGGAGAGAGCAGAGCCCATCTCAGCTAGAAATTAACATTAGCATTACTTTCAGCATTATTATTAGCAACTCCACAACGTGGCGGGCTTGTGTTATTTGTGGAGATAAAACAGCAACGTTACAAAGCAAATAGAGTCAGTGGTAGATTTATGTTGCTGTTAGCCAATCAGAGGTGAGATGTCCGAATATCAGGAAATTAGAATACAAATCCTACCGTCTGGAGCTCACATCGGCTGTGGCTCACCTCTAGCCCCTGAAACAAGAGCATGAGAGCTTTCTTTCCTAAATCGACACACAATGCATTCATTTATACTAAAGAGCACTGCAACTGTGTTTAAAAAACAAGTGAACGTGGTCTTTAAAGTGACAGAACCCTGAATCGGCTCATTCTGGAAGGTACTGAAAATGTCAAGAGTAAAACTGCTGAAATCGCTTCATGTGAGAGGGATTTTATGCTTTATAACTTTTTAAACATGTTTTTTTAAATCGACCATAGAACTATTATCACTTAAGAAGAAAAAAGTCATAATAAAAAGGGTCGCCATCGGAGGCCAATAACAGCACCTTTCCACTTTGTCTGTGTCTCATTCCTGTACCTATAAACTAATTTAGACAGATTGCAACCATAAAATATTTTTTACTAAAGTTCAGACTTAAACCACAAACTATCTTTGCAGATGTAACTCATTCTTTGTTTCTGTTTAAAAGTATGACTTTGTTGACATCATGTGTCAAATCTTGAGTCTAAATTGGTTTTGATATTTCTCTGATCTTTATGTTTGTAGTGAAAATGAAAAGTACTAAGCTCCCTTTCTCTGTTTTCGTAAAATTTGACAAACCTCACGAAAGGTTTCTCCTGTGATTTATTCTTAAAAGAACCAAAGAGAAGTGTTAGACCAATGTCGTGTGTGCATGCACTGGTTGCAGCGTGCATACATCTGGTGTAAACACAAAAGTGACAAAAAAAAGGTATTGCAAAGAAAAACGAGAAGTACATTTGAGTGGCATCATCTGAAATTAAGATAGAGTTACCAGTACACAGAAATCTAGCATACGATATTAAAATGTGGTGTGGTTAGGGTGTGTGAAAAAAATGCAGCCATGGATTAATTCATTCTTAAGAATTTGAACAACTAACTTACAGAAAGATGTATTAATTTTAATAGTGTATATTTGTTTTTAATAATATATGTTTAATACTCAAACATTATTATTCATAATAATTATTATATTATTATTATAGAAACAATACGAAATATAATTTCTTATTGTATATATTATATAATATAGCTGATCATAATTGATGATCATTTATTGTCATTTATTATTATTGTTGTTGTGTCGTGTATTACCATAGACTGTACATATACCAGTATTACCAGTGTATAGTTGATTGTGGTTGTTATACCTAATGTGTCCTGAAGGTGGCGATAAAGAAGCTTTCGTGTTTAGTATTAGTAAACGCAGATGAAGAAACAACTTGCGACATGCCGAAAAACATGTTAAGCGTCACTACTTAGCAGACCTGTCATTTTATTTTTAAGAGGAATCGTAACTCCAGGCGTTCGCATATTAAGTCCAGAGTGGTGACTGACTTTCATTTTAATGTTAGTTTCGTTTTTGATATAATTTTTTTTAACTAGAAAGCGATTAAATTTGTAGAAACCCACTTGCTTCTCGTGACAACAACAAACTCTACCAACCTCATTCTGTTACAGACGGGTTTGTCCAGGGATCCTGCCCCGAAATAAAACGATGCTGGTCACCGTTTTCTGTGCGCCGAGGGATCGCCCAGAAACTACTTTTGCCCTCGAGGTGTCCCCGGAGCTGGAGCTGAGGGACTTTGTAGCACTTTGTGAGCTGGAATCAGGAATCCCGGCTGGAGAAATTCAGGCAAGACCCGAACTAGTTGAAGACGAGAGTTAGCTTACTGAGCTAGCAGCTAACGGAGCTAGCATGAGTCAGACTAGAGGTGTTTTGACAAGCGAAGCGTTGCGAAACACGAATTAACACCAAACATGTTTAGCGACTTGCGTCCCATCCGTATAATACTGATGAAAAGAGCACTTAGATACCAGTAATCTAAATAAACGCCAACCAAGTAGAAAACTTCCAATGGTAATTGAAATAAATGAATGTGCTCTTGTTGGATAAGCCCTACTACAGACCTACTAAGCGTGGCCAGTTATGTTGTTAAAGTTTTGAACCACCTTTTAATCCCTTATGTTTTCATTCAGTATGCCAGACTTTCTTCTAATTGTTTGAGGTTCTTTTTTTTTTCTATTTTTTTTTTTTTTTTTGCTACGGTAATCAAAGCTTTTCCTGGGACATCGGCTACTTTTACTCATTTTCCTGTCCAGTGCTTGTTTCTTATCGAGTGTAGACTTATCAACGTAGAACGTGAAAGACAAAACAAGAGTGTCAGGTCTTAAAAAGACCACAGCAAATAATTAGTATCTGAAACTTAAAAAGGGAAAACATTTAACATAACGACCTCAGAGATGATTCATTCTCAACTTGATCTATAAGTTTTCATCTAATGCCAACTAGGGGTAGACTGATATCAGTCGTCTGATATATCGGGCCAATATTCTCTTCTCTTTTTTAAACCATCGGCATCAGCTGATTTGTCCTTAGTAAATAAAACCAATTTAAAGCAAGGCACATCCTCGGGCAGCCTGGTGCTTTTGCAGAATTTAATTTAAATGTATTTTTACGTTCACTAACATCTGCATGTAATAAATACTCTATTTAGGTGTCTGATTTTAACACTGAGCAGTGCATGTAACCTGGGCAACGCTGGAGCTGCAGAGCTCAAGCGTCACACCAGGGATTCGCAACAAAACAGGTGGAGAGCGAGTTTGCAGAACCGGAGGGACAGAGACACCAGAGAGCAGAAGTTTGTCTGCAACCTCTTTTATTAACTAAATGAAGAAGTCTTTGCTTAGTAAATGATCCCCAGTCTAAAAGTATGTAAAACCTAAAAAAAAAAATGCTTAAGAATCAATGCAGACTAAAAAAAAAAAAAAAAGTTTGAGTCCATAAAAGCAATTAACACAAGTTCTTTAAGACCCCCAAAGATACTTTGGCTCCTCCCAGATCCACAACATCACACAGAGGGAATTTCCAGGATGGGAAAGGCGACCTCCCGGCTTCTGCGTCCGACTTCAGCAGTCTCTGGTCTCGCTCTCATCAGGCGATCGTCTCAGGCGTGATCTCCCGGGGGCTCTCGTCACTCCTCCATGCCAAGGACAAAACACTGGGACAGAACCTTTGTCTGTGAAGCGGTGCAATCTCTTTCTCCTCCCGTAGGATCGGCCCATACGGAGCGTCACCCAGCTTACGACAGTGGAAGCAGTCTACTCACGGATGCAGGCAGAGGTCCAACCTCTGCCCTGCTGTCATTCAAAGGCGTTGCTCCCACTCGTTGTCACTGCACGCCAGGGATGAACTGCTCCTCCTGCGATCCAACCCGTTCTGTGCTACGTCCTCTTCTATTAGTCCAGTCCCTCTGCCTTCTTGTTTCTTTTGTCTCTTTCACCTTCCGCAGTTCTGCAGCTTCTTCCATTTATCAGCCTGCCAACCATGCACACCTGGTGCGCTCTCACAGTCACGCCCACCTCTTCAGGTGACCATCATCAGTCATGTCAACAGTGGCAAAACAGTCTAAACTAAACATGCATTTAAAACAAGCAACACACAACAAAATCATGTAATAACACAAAACTGTTAAGAAATTCAAACAATTATTAAACAGAAAACACATTCCACTGTGTGACATGCGCACAGTTAAGATTTAACAGTTAAATTCAGAGTTTGAAAACTGATTCAGTTTCACAAGTTGTGTGCATCAACTGATGTTATTAGTGACATTTTAGCATGAAAATAAGATGGAAAACGTGTAGATATATTTAAATAAAAAGGTTTTAGAGGTGTTCGCGTACGACAAGTTTAAATTACAAAACAACTCAAACTCTTCTGGAAAGTCTTGAAAGCAAAGTTTCGTGCACTGCGGTTACATTTTCCTCTGCAGAATATTTTATAGTAGTCATTCTGCAAATAACTAGGTTATTTAGTGAGAATATTTCAAACCGTTAAGAATTTATTTTAATGGATCACACCTGAAAAGGCTCGAGGCTCCTCGTAATTGCGACAACAACTAGCTCAGTCGGTTGAGCTTTTGTTAAATAATTTGATCTGAACTTTTTTATTTGCAGATTACGTATGTAGAACAGCCATTGAAAGACCCTACCCGTGCTTTGGGCACTTACGGTGTTAAAGATGGAGATGTGGTGGTTCTACGGCAAGCTGAAAGAAGGCCTCCGCAGACTCAGCCGGCCTTCCCAGGTAGCAAATATCTGTTGGTGTTTCACGTTTACAAGTTCAGGAATCTTTTCTGATCGTTTCACGGTGATAGAAGTTAGTTACCTTATATGAGTGATTTCAAATCGCTAACCTTGTTCTTCTTTATCTTCCATCAGGGCTGCCTCGAATTGACTTTCGTTCCATCGCTGTCCCAGGCACCTCCTCCTCAACCAATCAACGTGCTCCGAGGCCACAGCAACCGGCTCCTCCTCCTCAGCCGCAACCGCAGCCACCGCCGCCGCCGCAGCGTGCCGCACAGCCTTCTGCACCACTGGCCTTTCGTGGCCCCGTCCCACAGGGCCTGGACAACCCCGCCTTATTACAGCAGATGCTTTTAACAAACCCACACGAGCTTTCACTCCTCAAGGAGAGGAACCCTCCGCTAGCTGAAGCTCTGCTGAGCGGGGATTTAGGTTAGCAAAATGGTTATTCATGTAAACAGTGTTTGTTCACTTTTTTTTATTAGATATTAATCTGTGGTGCTTAAATGTTTCTGTTAGAGCGTTTCACCAAAGTGCTGCTGGAGCAACAGCAGGATCGAGCCAAAAGGGATCAGGAGAGAATCAGACTTCTGACTGCCGATCCTTTTGATTTGGAAGCTCAGGCAAAGATTGAGGAAGAAATCAGGTCTAAAAAATGTTCAATCAGTTTTAACATAACCGCACTGTAATGTTGAAACCGTCTCCTCGCACCACGGTGCAGATTCTGCGTCTACATTTCTGTCTTCATCCCTAAATGTCCTCATCCTCCAGGCAGCACAACGTAGAAGAGAACATGACTATCGCTATGGAGGAGGCCCCAGAAAGCTTTGGACAGGTGGTTATGCTGTACATTAACTGCAAAGTCAATGGCCACCCTGTGAAAGCTTTTGTTGACTCAGGTAAATCCCTCTGCCTGTACTGTCTACAAGTGGAGTGGTACTAAAATGTAGGTGGGCTACATGGTGGTGGTAGTTTAGTTTCCACAGTTACAGTATAGGGCTCTATACTAGTTTTGCATTTAAATTAGTTTGAAATAGATTTTCTAAAGTACAGGGTATCTGCAGGTCCTTAAAAAGTCTTAAAAAGCCTTAAATTTGCTTTTCCAAATTTAAGGCCTTAAAAATCCTTAAAAATGACAAATAACCCTTAAATAGTTTCCAAAAGTCTTAAATTACCAAAGACCCAATAAACAAGATTATTTTATTTCTATAACATTTTCGTGAATTTCTAGTTAGCGTTCAGCATTTTTTGTGTATGGTATTGGCGTAAGCGGAACTGTACACGTTCGGTTGGTTGTGAAAGGGGGCTATTTTTAGATGAGCACGTTAAGCTAGTGGGAGTTTGCGCCATGGGGAAGTGCAACATTAATGGTAACTGGATGGCTAATCCCACGTTCACGACGTGGTTAGCACCGGTTCCAGGCAATAGCTGGAAATTATAGCTTAAATTTAATTGAAAAAAATAGCTTAATTTTGGTCCAAGTGGCCTTAAAGGTCTTAAAAAGTCTTAAATTTGGCTCCCTTAAACCTGCAGATACCCTGAAAGTAGCATTTTCACTTATTTGTAGTCATTAGAATTTATCCCAAATCATAATTTGAATATTTTAGCATCTCGACTTTTCATTTAGAGAATTTTCCACCTGCCCTCATGTTTGTGTGCATGAAAAGGCTGCGTGGCGACATACAGCCAACCGCCCGAGTCGCTTGGTTCTCAAGCATTAATCAGAAAAGGTTAATTGTTTTATTTTATCTTTGTTTTTTACTTGTGACCCATTAAAAGCTGCTGTTGGCCACAGTTGCTTTAGCACAACTGTCTTTTGTCCTCTTCAGGAGCCCAGATGACCATCATGAGCCAAGCGTGTGCAGAGCGCTGTAACATTATGCGACTGGTGGATCGGCGATGGGCGGGGATCGCCAAAGGAGTGGGAACTCAGAAAATCATTGGCAGAGTTCACTTGGGTCGGTGTTGGTTTCCTTTATGGAGCGTAACTTTTTGAGTTTAGTGGCGGATGATTCCAACCTCTCGTATTTATTCTTAAATCAGTTATTGAACCTGCAAAGCTATTAGAATAAAATATCTGCTGTCCTCTTCCTCGTTTCCAGCTCAGGTCCAAATAGAGGGAGACTTTCTTCCGTGTTCTTTCTCCATCTTGGAGGACCAGCCGATGGACATGCTGCTCGGCCTGGACATGCTGAAGAGACACCAGGTGTGACCTTTGACCTGAGTATTACAGAATGATGGATTATCGTAGAGGTAATCTGGGAGTGTTGTTTGTCCTGTTTTTCGTCTAGTGTTCCATCGACCTGAAGAAGAGCGTGCTTGTGATCAGCACCACGGGAACTGAAACGCGGTTCCTGTCCGAGTCTGAGCTGCCAGAGTGCGCTCGGCTGGCGTACGGAGCAGAAGGCCGTGAAGACGCTCGGCCGGAGGAGGTCGCCGACAGAGAGCTGGCCGAGGCGCTTCAGAGGTCCATACAGGAAAGCGGTGAGCAGCTGCCTCCTCGCGCTGTCCTCTGATCTGTTCTTTGTTGAGCTTTATTTTTTTATTTCCAGCTCTGTTCAGAGCTACATCTGCATGTAAAGCTTCTTACTCTCAACCTCATTTGTGCACTCATCTGAAGTTTCACTCACATGGTCGCATCATGTCATCACCTCAATGATTTGAATGATAAACAGATGTCTCTTTGGTCGATAAATCACGATTTCCTAAAGGTTAGATTAAAGTGAAACCAGTGTTCAGTGTGCTGACACTGGAGTAAGGACCCGGCACCCGATTCTGCCTCTGGTGGGTATTAGTCCGTCTTTTTTCCCCCACAGATCTGTAAAGTTCCTTCATGTTGTTCTAATCTGGAGAAAATAGTCGCTGAACAAAGGAGTCCGTTCAGCCAACAGCGCCAGGTTCCCTTCTTTCTTTGTGAGTTTAGGAAAGCCATGGTGTCCGATTCAGCAGATCACTGCTCAGATGGGTTTCCTGAGGAACGTGAGAACAGCACTTGAAGTCGCCCACATGAACTAACAGCAGAGAACATTCAGTGCAGAGAAAAGATGTTCCTATGAACGAGAAGATCTTAATGTTTGGAAACGTTTTCTCATGAAGGGGACTCTTGCCTTATTTCAATTTTGTCATTGAAAAGATAGAATAATATAAAGTGAAAGACTGATAAAAATGCATCTAAAGGACCAAATAAGGCTATAATGAGCATTTAATTTGTATAAAAAATGTCAGATTTGCTGTGAAATTCAGATTTTATTTTTTATGCTTCTGTTTAAAGTGCATCCAGAGCGCTGACCTACTTAATAATATTTTAAATTAGCTTTGTTTGGAGGGATGAAATGATTTACCTTTTTTAAGATTATAATTTGTGACTCGGTTTCACGACAGTCGAGGAAACGCCTAAGAATCTTTGGTCTGTAAATGATAAAAACAAGTTGCTGTTGCAAAATGTTGCTTCTGTCTTTGGCAGTAGGTTTATTGAAGGATGTGTCGTTTTACTAAATGTAACTAGCTTTAGTGGCTTTTGTCAAAACTCCTTAATGGTAATGTTTAGGTTGTAGATGATCGGCTCGGGTAGCCCTCCACATATTTAAAGGTCTGATTCACTGAATACCCATTTAAAAGATTTTTTTTTTCTGATTTTAATCAGTCACTCTGAGTTTTTCATGCAGGCTGAACATGAAAGAAGTTTCCTACACTTATGTTCTGCATTAGCTTCTGATGGAAAATAACGGTGAAACACTAGGATTTGAAAAGCCTGACATATCTATGTCACACTGACACTTAAAGAGCAAGTCACCCCCAAATCAACTTTTTTTTTGATAAACTATATAAACGCATGTCTAATTCTGCTGCAGACACTTTAGTGCATTTTAGTTAAAATTTTTATTTTCTGCCTAAAACTGTCAGTGTTGTGCCGTTGTCAGGTAAAAACTCTGCACTGCATTTGAATTTAAATCTGCCATCGCTATTGGCTAAGAGGTACCCTAGAACGTTAGCTGGTACGATATGCTGTCACAATGTCGTTGTGAGCCTGTGTGTGTGTATTTGTTAGCTGCTCCGCCCTCTCGGTCTGCCAGGCAACAGCATTTGTTGCATTTTTCAAACAGGAAGTGGGAGTGGAGTAATACTCTGGTAGGGGGTGACTTGCTCTTTAAACAGGGATGAGTACCAGAGTCGGGACTTTTTTATGGCACCGACCAAATTCCGTGGTACCTACCGAGGATTGATTCATGGGATATGAAACAGTGCCTTGGTTCAGTAGCTATTCTTTATTTACGAGAATTTGTGAGACATCGATTTGCCAAGATGGACAACAACATTAGCATTAGCAACGCCACCACACAGCAGAACTCCACTAGGCTTGTGTTATTTCGGGAGATAAAACAGCCACCTTGCAAGTCAGTGGTAGAGTCGCATTGCTGTTATCCAGTCTGAGATGAGATATCAAATAAGACCCTAGAACATGTCGTCTGAAGGTCAGCTCTGATGTGGGCAACTTTTAGTTCCAGGAAATGGTGCATCAGTCCCCCCCCCCCCAAGAAGGACTTAAAAGGCATTCATTCCTCCTGGAGACTACTGCAGGTGTATAAGTGAACAACTCCTTTAAATACTGATCCCGGTGACTGTGTATGTTACAGAAACGCAACAAGTTATTAAAGGCTGTTACATTTTCTAAGTCTGACAAAAGTGTTTTTGTTGTTGTTTTTTTAGACAGAATAGATGACAAATGTTTTTTGGGAGAGGTGGGTCAAAAAGTTCCTAAAATTATTATTTTCTTTCATTTTTGAAATTAGTAGAGATTTTTTTTCTTAATCCCCAAAATCCAACAAAGAAAAATAAATCAATTTTCTACGTTTGTCCAAAAGTATGTTCTCTAATAAATTCATAAATATGAATTTGATCATTAAAATTCAGCTTTATATTTTTTTTGCTTGGATTTTTGGGCTTAATGGGGGGAAAAAAATTGAAAATTTTGTTTTGAAAGCGCACCCCCACCCTCCTTTTTATATTTATTATTAGTCTTTAAGAAAACGTAACTGTTCAGGCTTTTGAAGCTTATTGTACTTGTGAAAATACTTGAGTATCAGGATTTAGGCTCCGGTTGGTTATTTTGGTTTGACACTTTTCACATGAGTGTGTGAAAAGGCCGATGGTTTGGTTGCATGCCTTGTGTGTGACTGCTAACTCTCTCCGTCCCTTTGCATGATGTGTGTGGTGTGTGCCCTAACCCTGAGCAGGACAGCACTGATGCATTTGGAGACCGCTGAAGAAGGGCGCTACCAACCAGGTACTGCAAAGTCACAAACTCCATTGTCAGTGCTGAGTCCATTGCTGTTTATTTATTCAGTTTGTTTTGCTGTTATTTTGCTGCTGGTTGGGTGTTTATTTCTGTTTTTACTTGTTTTAATTCCGAGTTTTAAAAAAATCACATTTAAATGGTAAAAGTAGCATCATTCACACGATATCTGCTTTGCGATGTTCAGGTCAGTAGTTTCAGATGTTGATTCCGGGTTATAATTTCTTTTTTATCAGACACTGCAGATGGACGAACTACCTCACCACAGCCCTCACCATTTACATCATCCAGACCTTTAGACCAAACACCCTCATCCATCTCTCCCTCCCAGAATCCGGCCCTGGATTGCTCTCCGTCTGCTCCAGCCACCATGGAGCAGGCTCATGCACCAGAGCATGGCCCCCAGGAGCCTCCTCAGCTATCGTCCCCAGCAGCAGAGTCTTCTTCTCTGGTCCACCCTCTTCGTAGTGCCCCCGCCCCCGATGTGCCCCTTGGACCCAGTCCCTCATCAGAAATGTTCCGTACCTTTGTCCCTCCTGCAGACGAGCCCTCAGCCTCTCAGGATCTGCAGGGTGAGATGCAGCCTCGAGCCGTAGAGGGGGATGTTCAATCCAATAAGGTGGAGAGCAGCTCAATGAGTGTCACACCAGAGGAACTTTCTCCCCGTCAACCCATGGAGCAGGAGGTGGCTAAATCGGGCTATCAGGCGTCTCCTACCCAATCAGAGTCTGTTGACATGGAGACGGTTTCTGATGGCGCGGCGTCTGCCGAGAGCGACCAGCCTGACGGAGAACGTCGCCCCAGTTCCGACTGCATCCCCTCTCTGGCGGCTGCTCTAAAGGAGCTCCATGAACTGCTGGTGTCCAACAACCAGTCCCAAAGCCACAGCACCTCCTGCTCCCCACCAAACGCAGCCGGGCAGGACTCGGACAAGGCATCCTCTGAGCCAGGCATGCCTATACCTGAAAGCACTGCCATTGCTGCTGGTGCAGAAACACGTGATGCCAAAGCCAACTATACTGCTGCTGATGCACTTGTGTCTGATGAGGAACCCAACCTCCCCAGTCAGGAGGAGGTGCATCTCAGCGGAGGGATTTCAGAAACCGAGGAGGACCAAGGACCATTGCCATGCCCAGGCGGCTTGGAGGAGGGAGCTGCAGATGATCAAGAAGAGACCAGTAACATCAGAATCTCTGAGCCTGAGTTTCCTACTGGTCCTCCTCTGGTCCCTGACCTCAGGGAACCACCGGAGGGGCAGCCTGGGAGAGGGGATGCAGACGGACGAGCCTCTGGCACCAACATCCAGGGTTCCCTCCAGACTGAGCACACTTTCCTCACCCCTTTATCAGTGGAAGTTGGTCCACCAGAGGAAGTCTCATGCACCTCCTCTTCTTCTGCTCCACTTCTCACTCAGGCCCCTCAGCTTTCATCCCCTGCTCCTCTTCTTCAATCTCTATATCCCTTTACTGAACAATTCCCAGCTGAGCACATCCAGAGAATCCAGGCAGCGGGGTTTTCCGCCCGGGAGGCTGTGGAGGCACTGGAGCGAGCCCACGGGGTCGTGGAGATCGCTCTGCTCGCCCTTCTGGCTCGCAGCATTACTGTGCCCACCTAGACTCATGAAGCAATCACGCGAGCCCCCTCCCAGCTCAGCATCCGTCTTATTTAAACTTGTAAAGGCCACAGGGAAAATGCTGTCTCCTGGTTTGTCATACAGAAGAACCAGTAAACTGTGTCTACCAGAAACAGATATGAGGTGTGTTTGCATGCAGATGTTTCGGGTGCCCACTCATCAAATCGGATTTTAGACATTTAGCGTTGGAAATTCATTTTTTTCATCTTCTTTTGCCCAACGTTGACTTGATTTTTAAACATTAAAGGTGATCGCTTTCTCTTTTATATGTCATGAAGCTTTTCTGGAAATCTTCTTTTGTCAACACAGAAAATCAGTCGTTCTTATTCCCTTCTGTAATTGTTCAGCATAAATTAAAGTTTTTGAAATAATTTGCAGATAAATCTCAATGATTTTAACATTTGTTTATCCTTTTAATTTACAAATATTGGGGGAAAATGTCCAGTTTGGGTAACATTTATAGAGCTTCTTCACATATATAAGTGGAAACCTAAACAGAGTCATCACTAAAGTTTTTTTATTGATTTTGTCTAAAGCAGAAGGTGTCTTGTACTGTTTGTCTCCACAATTTCAAAGCTTTGCAACGGGTTCTTTTGAAACTGTTTACTTTGTGTGAAATCCTCGGTGTGAGCTCATACTTGAAATCTTTTCATTTTCATTAAATGACCATTCTGTCGAATGTTCAGTCAGTACAACAAATGTTGAGGATTGAATGGCTTTGAGTCCTACCAACGTTGTTCAGGCCGATTTCATTATTTACTTTTACCTTGTAGGATATTTTAAATTGCAAATAAAATTCAACTAGTATTTGTATAACTTGTGGTTGTTTGGTCATCTTTTCTAACCACAGTTCAATTGTTTGGTCGAGCATACAGTCTAAGTCAGTGGTACTCCTGGTCTTGGAGAGCCGGTATCCAGCATGTTTACATTGTTTCTCTGCTCCAACACTATTCAGTGGTTAAATGACCTGTGCAGCAGCTCATCAGGCTCTGCAGAAGCCTGTTAATCACCTGCTGATTGAAATCAGGTGTGTTGAAGCAGGGTTGAAACTAAAACGTGCTGGATCCAGGACCAAGAGTGACTACTACTGGTCTAAATTTTAAAGCTACAATCCAGACGATACCCTCTGCAGGTTGACAGATGTATTGCACCTTAAGCCATTCTCACCGCTTCCGTATTTATGGAAGTCACAGCTGGTCTGCCATCTCTTTAAAGAGCAAGTTACCCTCTACCAGAGTCGTACTCTACTCCTACTTCCTGTTTGAAGAATACAACAAATGCTGTTGCCTGGCAGACCAAGAGGCTGGAGCCACTAACAAATACACACACGAACAAGCTCACAACGTTGTGACATCATAATATACCAGCTAATGTCATATTGTACCTCTTAGCCAATAGCAATGGTAGATTTAAATTCAAATGCATTGCAGAGTTTTTACCTGAAAACGGCGCACCACTGACAGTTTTAGGCAGAATATTAAAATTTTAAATAAGATGCGCTAAAATGCCAAATTACAAACTACACATGTCTTCAGCATGATTAGAAACTCATTTTTTAGAGTTTATCAGCAAAACAAAGTTGAGTTGGGAGTGACTTGCTTTTAACTTATTTACATCTCGTCAGTCATTCACTGGGTGACAGGCGTCCTTGAAACTTTCTCACAGTGACGCCAGCTCGTGTGCTCTATTGAGTCCTTGAGACTTGTCTGATGTGTGTGTAGCAAAGCAAACAAGCAACCCCAACCTAATTTAAAATGATAAATTATGTTTGTAGTATAAATAAAGCAGAAATCCCAAGTTTTTTCTCTGATGGCACCATCTAGAGGTGATATAATATATTGTACCTTAAGCCCCTATATATTTATCTATATATATAAATATAGATATATATATATCCATCCATCCATCTTCTGAACCCGCTTTGTCCAAGCGGGGGGGGGGGGGGGGGGGGGGGGCGCTGGTGCCTATCTCCAGCGGTCAACGGGCAATCAGGTGGGGTACACCCTGGAGAGGTTGCCAGTCCATCGCAGGTCAACACAGAGACACACAGGACAATCACACACACACCTAAGGACAATTTAGACAGACCAATTAACCTAACAGTCATGTTTTTGGACTGGGGGAGGAAGCCGGAGTTCCCGGAGAGAACCCACACATGCACAGGGAGAACATGCAAACTCCATGCAGAAAGATCCCAGGCCGGGAAGCGAACCCAGGACCTTCTCGCTACAAGGCAACAGCTCTAACCACTGCGCAGCCCCCCCCATATATATATATATATATATATATAAATATATATATATATATATATATATATATATATATATATATATATATATATATATATATATATACATATATACATATATATATATATATATATATATATATATATATATATATATATATATATATATATATATATTACAAGACCATCACTTTTATGGATTTCTATAAAATTCCACATAATTCCGGAAAGGGGCAAAATTACAGATTGCTGCTGCTTTAGATCAAGGGAAGATACCAAGGTCAGCATTCTGAAATTACATGAATTATCTAACAGCCGTAAAGGTGCATCACTTACAGAGCTTGTTGGTTCAGTGATTTTTATTTATTTATTTTATAATTAATCCGATTGTTTACCTTTTGGAATTAAAAAAACCTACTTAAATAAAACAATTCTAAAAAATCTAAGACTGTTTAAAGAAAAACGTAAGGATTTATTCATCCCATTATTTGTTTACATTAATATTAATAATTTTAATATTTACACAATTTCAGCTTTTATTGCCTCAAATTAATTAAAAGCTTCAAAAAACAAGTGTTATTGCTATTTTCTTGTTGACAATTAAAGGATTAATCCAGAAACTGATATTTGTCATCAAGAAAGCTTTAAACTTTTGAGAAATTAGGGTTAACATTGTGGAGGGGAAAAAAATCACACCTGTTTCCATTTTGTCGCAATTGCTGCAGGTTCTGATTGGATGCAGCTCAGACTATTTAGCTTGATTGGTTTCTTAGCCTCATGGGTTTGCGGTCTGTGTGCAGGGTCTAAGGACAGCTTTTTAGCTTCTGGGAGAGAAAATCTGGAGCCAAACCACCATCATGGATTATGCTGATGTCAGAAAAGAGACATATGGTTTTAAAGATGAAATCACAGCTGATCTGCCTTCTTACTTCATAGGAAGTAATTTGTCAAAAGGACCAAGCGTGAGTCCCAGTGTGTGTATTGGGTTTGCTAATGTGGATGTTGGTGCTGAGGGGTCCAGCTCCATAATCCCATTTTATAATTTAAGGTGAGGCTTGTAGCAGCTTAGGGTGGCTTAGATGCATGTTTCTGGTAGCAATGATGCATCTCTCTTGTTTCAGTCCTCTGAATGTGTCTCCAGCTCTGGGATCTATCATTTCAAATCAGATATCTAATTTTTCCATCTCCCTTACTTCAGCTGTATGCTACTGAAAAGGGCTCAACTGTGTTTGACCTATGAAGAGTGAGCACTTGTAAGGTCTGATTCTCGTGGCTGACTGGTTAAAGATAACCGTCTTTTTAAAAACAGACCCAGGGATTCTGAAGAAGCCCAGGAGGAAGTACCTACTGTGACGTTCCAGTCGAAGTTCTTTGACTCTTGTGAGTTGTCTTTAATCTTGTTGGAAAACTAAAGTCTATGCCGTGTAATTCTGTTTCCCTTTGCTTTGCAGTCCCGCTGTATCAGGACTATGTATTGCCGATTGTGAGAGAGATGTGCAGACTCGAAGATGTTGTGTCTGAACTCGTAATACCGGAGCGCTTTAACGGCCTGACAGGGAATTGCAGGTTTGAGCTTTGTGAGGTTGAGCTTTGTGAGTCAGAACCTAGCAAACCCGAAAGTTTGAAGAGCCCTCTGGAGAAGTTAGAATTTCACTCCCTTCCTGATCAAACGCCACCCCCACAGTCTCAGTCCCTAAAGGAGTCTCCCAGCCCAGCTTTGCAGCAGTCCCTTAAGATATTCCCCTACACTTATTGGCAAGACCTGCCGGAAGTGAAGACGTCTGGCCTGCTCACCTACTTGACCCCAAAGGAAATCTGTCTTCAGGAGGTATTTGTATAACTCTCTCTGAGAAATCCAATATTAAAATCCTTCATTCATTTTATATATCCTTCAGTCCATGTTTGAGCTGATTGGCTCTGAAGCATCCTACCTGAAGAGCCTTGGAATATTGGTTGATCACTTTTATACATCAAAGGCTCTGAAGAAGACTTTATCCGAAATGGAGCAAAAGGTTTTGTTTTCCAACACTCCTGGTGTGATGGGAGCCAGTGCAAGGTGTGTTCTCAAATACAGATCGCTAGGTTAAATAATGATTCACACTCATGACTTGTTTAATTCAAGGTTTCTAAAGGACCTGGAAACGCGACTGGACGAGAACCCGTATATCTCTCAGGTTGGGGACATAGTACTCAAACACAGCAAGGACTTTCGTCGACACTATGTGCCATATGTGACCAACATGGCGTACAAAGAGTTGCTCATCAACCAACTTCTGTAAGTTTTGTTCTAAATTTGTTGCTGGATTTCCATGAATTCAGACGCGGTTTCATTACATAATAAAATGATTCTGTCCTGAAGGGAGCGAAACCAGGGCTTTGCATATGCGCTGAAGAAGCTCGAAAGTGACTCTGTGTGTCACAGACACCCCCTCAAGTCCTTCCTGGTTCTTCCTTTCCAGAGAATTACTCGCATAAAACTTCTCCTGGAGGTAGATTTCTGCTGAGTAATGCGACTAAAGCTCATGCAAGCTTTTTTTTTTAGAAATCCGTTTTCATTTTAGAGCATCCTGAAATCAACCAACCCCGACACGGACTCTGCTTCGAACCTTAAAAAAGCAATAAATGCCATCCATGAGGTATTTGTGTTCTGCTTTGAATGTTTAGCTCTAAACAGTCATGAAAAAATATTTTGGGAGTTTCTGCAGCCGCCAACTAGCACTAGGCTAAATGAAACTTCTCTCGTAGTTTTCTAAAAGGAGGAAAATCGGAAAATTCCTTTTAGCACAACTGAACTTGTGACTACCCCCTAACAGATACTGATGACTTGTGACGATAACGTCACAAAAATGAAGAAAATCGAGGAACTCATCTGCCTGGAGATGATGATGGACTTTGGTGAAATCAAGGTTTTCTTTTTTTTTCCTCAGGACTTTATTGATCCTTAAAGATGCTAATTTTTTTTTTTGGTCCACTCAGTCGGTTCCTCTAGTCATAAGCACTCGTCGTCTGGTCCACCAAGGATCCGTGAAGCTAGTGAAGGTGGAGAATGCTTATGGCTCAAGAATGTCTTTCGTCAAGATCTACCTCCACCTCTTCAATGACCTTTTGATCATCTCCTCCAAAAAGTACGCCACAAACGTGTTTTTACTTTGTGTTGCAAGAGCAGCAGCATCTTTGACGACTCATTGATACGTTCATTTTGAAATATTTAGTTCACCAGAAGACCAATCTGTTCTGTTCCCAGGAATCAGAAGTTCATGGTGTCTGATCATGCTCTCTTCCCTGCACACGTGTCCGTTGACCACCTGAAAGCTGACGTTATGGGACTCCCCCAAGAGTCATTCTTGTTGCGTCTGTCTCGGAGTCAAAAAGGATTCCGAACTGCCATGATCCTTGTTGCAAACACACAGTGAGACGAGCGTCAACGTTTATGATCCTAGAAATCAGCGGTTGTTTAATTGAGCTTTGTTTCACTTTCAGGTCAGATAAAGAAGAGTGGATGAAGACTCTTTCATGTGGGTGATCGGTGATGGATTTGTACACTTTATTTATTTATTTTTTTACTACACTTGATTCTTTCACTTGCACATTAATTTTACATCTTAAGTTCATCACTTGGAGTTTTTATTTCTTGACAAAGTTAAAGCACTTTAGCACAATGTGTTCAAACACCCACCAGCTCTTCAGAGGATCAAATGTCTGGCAGATTTTAAGCAACTTTTTTTAAATAAAAGTTTTGACTAATCGGCTCAGTATTCAAATTTTTTGCCAAAATCTCTCTGGTCTTTGCTGTGAAATTATTATTAGTATTCAGTTTCCAATGGAGGAACATGGTGAAGTTTAATGTTAGGCCTGTTTATTTCTGTAGGCCTCTATTGTGAAGGGAAGGGGCCTTTAGCCATGCTCCTTGGGCCAAACCATTGTCTCTGTTTTAAAATCAGAAGCTACCTCCCTACAAAGTTTTAACTGATCTGATTTTTGCCTTTGTACCAGCACAGCAGAGGGAGTTGTCATGATGCTGTGGGGAGTTCCTAGCCTAGTGAACTGGACCAAATTCTTGCTTTGCTAAGTTTGGTCTAGGCACGCTCCATTGGAACCTCCGCAGCTCCTACCAGGACTCTGGCTAGCCAATCACAGCTCTCTAGAGGGGTTTCAAACACAAAGAGCTGTGATTGGTCTATAATGGTGGGCCAATCATAGTGCTTTATCCGCTTTGTGGGCCAAATAGGAGCTTTATCTGCTTTGTGGGCCAAATAGGAGCTTTATCCGCTTTGTGGGCCAATCGGGGCACTCTATATGCCTGGTGAGTGGAGATGCAACAGAGTGAAACAAGAGTGTCACATTCTTTGTCCAGTAGCATACAGAGATCATTTGAAAGACAACGGTAGAAACCGCCCCACAACCGAGAACCGTCAATGGAGCGTGGCCAGACTAAATACATTTCCACATTTGTGCCACATTACCGCTTACAAATGACCTAAAGCTCCCTGATGCTGCCACGGCGTTGCTGCTTGTGTGCTCTTTATTGGGCGGAAAATGCAACACTGATTTATTTCCACAAACACAAGCCTTCACATGTTCTGCCATGTTGTGGAAGTGCTAATAGTTAGCTTCCACTAGCCGAGACACACGCTGCCACCTCCTGGCCACAAAATCAATAGTCTCTGCAGTTGCATGCTACGGTGGGTGAGGACGTGAATGTTACATTTCCTAGTGACGTAGAGACTGCCTTTTCTGACCTGATCGTTTTCCTGTCTTTGTTCTGGAGCTGACGTGGGCCAAAAGGTTTCCAGAAAATGTTCACGTTTAGCATGCATGGAGAACTAAGACCAAACATGTAGTTAAATGTAGGAAGAAAATGGCTGTACCCTCTAACCCATGGAGCAGGAGGTGGCCTCCATGTTTAAAGGTGCATTATGTAGAAATGAAATGACATCCTAAAAGCTGGTTACTGCAACCATTTTAAACAACTCTGGAGCTTTTTCCCGGCCATCAAATTACAATTGTCGGTGCTGTTGCATTAGCGCACAGGAGACAAAGCACCCCCACACTTATGATAAACAGTTTATGTCCGCCTTCTGAAAGAAAAACTGATGATCCCTGCAGCCAGCTGGATATGAAACTTGTTTCAGTAGAACCTTCCTAAGTGACTGAAACGTGTTTAATCCCCCCCCCCCCCCCCCAGTCTGTAAATACAGAATCTTTGTCTGCTCTATTTGCCACTTGAATCACGTCACAGCTTTATAACATGACAAACACTTAAAGCAGAGTCGCGTTCTCTGACTCCAGCTCCTGATGGGCTGCTCCAGATATAATGCAGTCCTGATGCCACAAGTTCTCTGCCAGGCAGTTCAGGATGGGCGCTACATCACACAGCCCAGTGCCGGCCTCTCCACCGCCCGTACACAGCACCGGTAACCTCCACGTCTCCTCAAACTTCCCGACGTCCCTCTCTGCCACGTCACAGTGCATGAAAAGGTCAAATCTAAGGGAAGCATTAAGGAACAAAAAACCAAGTAACCTTAAAGATTTGGTTTTGTCTCTTAGATGCAAAATACTGATTTTCAAATGTCTAGACATTTTAAATGCAAAGGATACTTGGTGCCAATCACCACTTTGACAACACGACCAAAAGATGGCTCATTCCATTTAGAGATCTGACTTGATAAATCATCAAAGGATGTCCTGTCGGTGAAGGAAAAAAGGAACAGGACCGCGTCCACCTGCTCCTTACAAGACTGCAAAAAAGGGGGGAAATGTTAGTGTAATTTTAGAATGCTGAACTGGGTCACGACTAGTGCGGCAGCCAAGTGGAGATTAAAATTTCCTTTTATGAGGTTGGAGTTTGATATTCACAACTTTACATATAGTTTAGGATATGACATGCTGTCATGCCATACACATTATCTTGTACTGATCCAATAAAAATGAGCCATGTCAAGTGGGCAGATTTTGGTTATGAAAACTAAAGTATGGGAAGACTTCATGGGTCATGGTGTTGTACCATTTTTCTAAGATCAAGTTATATAAACCAAGTTAAACCTACTGAATCAGTCATTTTTGCAGTGTACCAGTGGGATTATGACCCCTACAAAAACAGGGATGGAGGTCAGCTAGACAAGAAAGGGGCTTTCTATGGAACTATACAAAAACAGCAACAGTGTTTATAACTTCACTTACTGGAAGCAGATGATCAAATCTGCGTAAGGCGTTCTCTCCACAGTCCCAAAACTGCAGACGGAAAAAAAGCACCCTGCCGTTTTCTCTCAGCTTCACTGGCCAATACACCACCGTCGTCTCGATACCTTGAACACACAAAACATCAGATAACTGATTCCATTAAAATTACCTCAGCTGGTGGTTGAACCTACCTGTGGTTTCATGGTGCACGTTAGGAATGCTCAAGCCAGCGAGACGTGCAGCAAACGCAGTTTTTCCAACTCCACTCTTACCGGAAATGAAGATCTTATAAGGAAATGTGTCCACAGCTACGTGTGGAGCCATCACCGGAGACTCCAGCAGACCTGTACAACATTTTTAATGATTTATCTTATTTTCTTTTCCCTCTAATATATCTCACAGTTTCATATAATTTAACCAGAAAGCTTCATACTAAGCAAACAATTAGACAATGATCAACTCCTTTTAGCCTGTTGTGTTTTGAGAAATCAGATCAGAGAAATAGTTAAATAAAAATGCAGATTTGTTCCTTTTCTTTAAGATGAAAATGCTTTTCATTTTGATTAAATGACAAACACACCAACTTTCTAGATCTGTTTACTTTTTGTGTTTGAATTGATAAACTACCTTAAACACATAATCCAACCATGATTTCATTTTGACTAAATATGCTTTTTTCTTTAAAGTAAAAATTTACGTTTAACAATTTTTTATAGGTCTGACGACCTGCTTTTCATACAAATTTAATTTATCATGGGAACATTTTAAAGAAATCTGAGGTATAATCAATGCTCCCAAATGTCATTCTGAATCTTTAAGGCGTCTAATATTTATATTGTTTTAATCTGGAAGAGGGTAAGTCAAATTTGGGGGAAAAAAATCAGCAATTAGGAGAAAAAAATAGAAAAATAAATGACTAATGATTGATAGTAATAACTGACACTTATATTTGAAACCACCATGCCTGGATCTCTGCTGCATGATATCATTTCATGTACAAATCACCTTGCTTTGGTTTATAAACCCACGTTGTGTGAGAAAATAAACAATTCATTTTTTCAACTTTCCATTTCCTGACAATCCAAACTAAAACTATTATGCAGGTATCTGTCAGAACTGCATCATGTTGCATTAAACATTTATTTACTCTGTTTTTATTATTTACAAACCAAATTTTAGCTTTCAGCCACAATAAATAGCGTCGCGTTTTTTAAAGAAACTAAAAGGAAAGTTAGATAGGCATTACCAAAGTTCTTTCGTTTCGTCTTGTGTAGAATTTTGTTGAAATATTCTTTGCTTTCTTTACATCGGTGCCAATCAGAGACAATAACCGATCCTGGTTGGGGAACTTGTGCCATGATGCTAACATCAAACATGCTAACATCACAAAACTTTATAAACAAAGCAGCCAGCGGCTCGTTGAAGTTAAGAAAACTGTCTATACTGTCTTCTAAAGCTAAATATAATGAACATTCGCGTCACAATGAAAAGTAAGTCAACAAAAACCGCAGTGTTTTGCTAAAACAAGTAGCAATTAAGCTATTTTTCCGTAAACTAAAAACCGTGCCTTGACAACTTGTACGTCACTTCCGCCACTTTTCAAAGGTTGTATTCACAGGCTGTCGAAATCGCCATGACTAAATATAAATCGTACCACCCTCGTGTACTTTTTGGAACAAATTTAAAAAACTTACATCAGAAATTCTATTACTAAAACATTTACAAAGTATGTAAAAATATGAATTCACTGTAACCGACATGTTTTATATTTTCAAAAAAGTTAACAGCAAAATCTTGTCAAATTTTCTAAAAATGTTTAATTAGATTTCTTTATTTAAGCACATTTGGAAAGGGTACATTTAATTCTCAAATTTTATCCAGCACAATAACAAAAGTAGATCAATTTAATTATTGCTTGCGGTTTTTGACATTTTTAAGTACAGTTAGTGTTTTAGCTGAGAATTTCGAGTTTTTCGTAAATGTTCCATGAACGTTGCATCCAGAAGTTCATTTATCCACCGCTTGAGGCCGACAAAGTCCACTGCTTTTCTCCAAACTCTGAGGTCACATCTGTAGACAGAGCAACAATGAATTAGAGAAAATGCATACTTCGTGTAAAAGTCAGTGAAAAGCGGCGATAAGTTACCTTTTGAGCTTTCACAATCAGAACCCCACTGCTGCTCATGGACGTGCTCACAGAGAAGGGGTCCACATTTGATGGCAGTTTGCATTTGTGTGAAAGTGCTTTGGTGACTGTGCCACCTTCACCCACCTGCATTCAAAACATCAGTATAAATGTTCTTGAATAACTGTTACTGTACAGATAAAGAGGGGAAACAATAGAAAACATATTTCATATAAATATGTCATGTTTTTTATATCTCCATAATATGTGTCATGACAATTTCTGCAATTCATGATTCACCTTATCAGCCTGGACCTCTAGTAGATTATTAGAGGTTATGACAATAACTTCCTCTGGAGAAAATTCACTCACATCCAAAGTGAACTGGAAGATGTCACCAATGACCTGTATCTTTCCTGTCGGGGATGAGTGACCTGAAACAGTTAATGATAGTATAAAATATTAAATTTTGCTGTTTGTAACCAGGTAAAATATTTAATGCATCACTATTTAAAACAAGAAAACAACTTTTTCCCCAGTTTTTATTGGGCTGACCTGTAAACTTGTGTTCTTCGGTCCCAGGCAGAGGTGAACATCCTGAATCTTCAGAGCAATTCCTTTGACCCTCCTCCATGCAGACTAAGGTCAGCATTTCTCTGTCTTTAATCACCAAAAACCTTCCTCCCCTGTGTCACAACCGTCCGCATATGAGTCTTTATCAGACCACTTGGAGACTGTGTGGGTGTTTGTGTGTGTGTGTAATTTGGTCTCTAAGATACGCTGGAATATGACACACATTATAGATATTTAATGGGTCATAACTGTATTTGGACTGTTAACAAACAGGCCAATATATTTTGCCACAGTCCTGACCAGAAGTGAATCTTTGTGTTTACGTGTGAAACAGGGTGTGTAAATGTTTCTGTGTGGAGGCCAGTCAGAGTTGTGTTAATCTTACATTTAATGCAAAATACATCAAACATGTGATCTATGAATATGTTTTATTTTAGGATCTGTATGATGGAATTTTCTCGTTAAAGCAGGTTATGAACATCTTGTTGAGTCGCATTTAGCCCGACAGCGTGGCAGAGGTGCGATGAATCACAGTCGGATGTAGATGTGAGATTCTGCTCCACCCTGTAAAGTCAAACTTAGTCTGGATGGAAGCCATTCCCCAATATGTACTGTGAGCACTGCTGATTGAAAAATGAAGAAAGAGTTTAAATAAATGCTAAATTTTCTCCTAAACTTGAAGAAATACCATCTTGTTAATTTTTTATTTTATTGTGAGCTGGACCTGGTTTCAGACCTAAGTTTTCCCTTTGGCAATACATGAACCCCCTTTAGTGCAAGTGACCATGTCTGATCACTTTAATGTGTTTTAAATGTTGATTTGCATCCATAAACTAAAACCTTTTGGAGGTTATTATTATTAGTTGGAAAAAAGTTTTTTAAAAAGTAAAAGGACATAAAAACAATGCAAAAAAGAAAAAGTTAAAGATATTATTTCATTTTATAGGCCTCACTTTTTTATTTTATATGTCTCACTGCACCTAGGATTTACTGAAAAGTGGTTGTTGTTAGTCTCAAGGGCAACCTGGTGGCTTGATTGTCATCTGTAAGTCGCTTTGGACAAAAGCGTCATCAGATATAAACTGATGTGGTAAAAGCAATGAAAGAGTTAAGAAAAAAATGTATCCCAAAAGAAAAAACAAGGATGTTTTTAAGTTTTAAAATGCCAAAAAGAATTAATAATAATAATAATAATAATAATAATAATAATAATAATAATAATAATAATAATAATAATAATAATAATAATAATAATAAATAAAGAAAAGAAAATGTTGAAAACATAAAAAAAGGTTAAAAAAAATTAGAGTAAAACATACAAACAACTAACAACAATTAAACAATTAAGGTGTTAATCTGGAATTTATTAACTAAGGTGTCAAATGTGTGGAAACATAAATCTCACAAGAGCCGAATGAAGCTCAAAACACACAAACAGGCTCCACATGTTAGAAAATCCTAAAACAAAATAAAAAATGTATTTTAGAATTTTTTTTTTCTTCTTAAATTGAACTAGGGTTCTGGGGTGGGATTATTAACAATTCAAAACTCGGCTCTTTAAACAGCCACAGTTTAAAAAAAAAGACATTCCTAATGCAGCAACAAGCTAACGTCTAGTCAGAGAAGGGTCAAAAATAAATTTGTACTGCTTTACAACAAAACTTAAAATGCAACTTTCAATTCCAGTAAAGTTTGATTGGGTGTTTAAAGATCAAGTTCACTTTTTTCCAACACATTTATTGTGGTCTCTATAAATAAAGTTGATCTCCGTGTAAAAAAAGCTCTGGCACTCCTGTTTCAGGAAAGAGTAGAGAGCCAAAGGAGTGGGGAGCAGAAGACAGCATAATTTGGTGCTTTATTTCCTGATATTCGGTTGTCTCAACTGTGATTGGCTAATAGCAACGTGACTCTAGCACTGACTCTGCAACTTTGATGTTTTATCTCCTTAAATAACACACACCTGGAGGAGTTCCGCAGTGTGGTGGAACTGCTAATGCTAACAGTTAGCTTCTACTAGCTGAAACGTTCTGAGCTGTTTCCCGGACGCCAAACCAACGACAGCCTTCCCCGTTGTGAGTCAAGATGGGGGAATCAGAGAATGCTAATTTGTGATGTAGATCTGACGGGCTTTTTTAAAATCTGAGCGTTTCCCCGTCTATTTTTCATCTGCGGCTAATGCAGGAAACAGGGGCAGAAGACTATTTTTGCTTTTAGCCTGCATGTTAAACTTGATCATATTTCATAATAGCCGGTAAAAATGGGTTTCTCAGTGAACTTGTCCCAATAATCCACTAACATGTAACAGGAATTAGCAGCGCACTTCCGATTCAGTCTGCAACATGTCAGAATTTCATTTTGGATGGACTAACTTCATCATGTGATACTAACACAGATTAAGGTTTATAAATGAGCATTTCCACAAACTGCTTAAAATCCTTTGAGATTAGAGATGTTGCAGTAATCCAGCTTGTAACCAGCCCAGCCATTAGCTCATGTGTCTGCTCATAACTAATCTGTATTTCACAAAGTGAGACACTTCAGCAACCGGTAAGGTTTTAGATGTTGGTGCTATTTAAAGAGAAACCCGCTTCAAAAGATCCGAAGTATGCCAGAAGACCGGTTAAGCGCATCCATCGGGTTCAGACTTCCGTTTCTCCGTGACTTGTGTAAGTTTTCTCTCATAAACTCAAGACGAGGCGTGTCGTATCAGAATAAATCATCACTGGGAGTGGCCTGTTCACACACGACTTACACAACAGGCTACTCTAAAGGTCAGGTGCTTTACTGCAAATAAAACTTGACTGATGACGATAAGGGTTCCGGCCAAAGTGCGGCCCTACTTTTATTCATTACACAAAAAAATAAGGAAATCAGTTTTTTTATACAACAAATGGCATAAATATAAAATACAATAAATAATAAATAAAAATGAACAGTTGCTTTAAGACATGATGTAAACAAACAAAGATGTGTGATAAAGTCTTTTTCCATCTCTTTAGCCCTGAGTGAAGTAAGAGTTTGCAGTTTTAAACAAAATCTTTTTAAGTCACAGAAATGAGAAGCAGACAGGCTGAAGGATCCAAGATCAGTGGTAGGTCAGAGCGAGTGCTTGGAATAAGGCACCCTCATTTCTAAAGAGCACTGAATGCTTCTGAGTGAACAAGCACCCTCACAGTCACTAACTACATAATAAAACGTGTTTATGTTCAACATATCAGACATTTTATATAAATTATTCTCCTCTGTTACTACATAGCAGTTGTGCAGTCTCAGTTCAGTCTGAGGGGATTGGAGGGCTCTCTTCAGTCATGCAACGCTGTGCCACCCAAATCTTTTTTTTAAATCTGCAGCGTGGCTCAGGTTCACCCTCCTCTTCAGTCCTCATCCTCCACGAGTGAAATGGCATGGACGGTCAGTGCACTTTGATTTGGAGGAATGCTTAGATCACACTGCAAAGACTCTGAGAGGGGTGGTCTCGTCTTTCAGGCCCAGGATGCTGTAGAATATTCTCTTCATGTGACCGGGTAACCGAACTCCGATGTTGGCAATGTCCCTGTAAGAAAACGGCAAACGGCTTTTTAGAAACACGGCCTCCAATCAAGAAGAAAACAGTGGAAAATATTCATGTTATGGATTAATAATTAAAATATTACTGAGATATTTAAATGGGACATATGGCATTTTCTTGAGTTATTATAGTTCTGTGGTTGATACAAAACATGTTTATGAAGTTCTTTGCACAAATCCCTCTCACATAAAGTGACTTCGGCAGTTTTATTCTTGACATTTTCAGCACCTTCCAGAATGAGCCATCTCAGGGCTCTGTCCCTGTAAGAAAACAATCTGGAGCTAGCCACACCCACCCGTCCCCTGCACTTCTGGAATAATGCTGTACGTAAATAAGCCATTAGGTCACTTGTATTGACGTAATCTACATATATGTTAAATCGTATTGCTGCAATAGTCTTTTATTTTGAAATTTACCACATTTCTACACTGAAACGTGTGATTTCCTGTCTAGCCGTATGTTGATTGCAGAAATAGTGGAACCTTATCCTATCTGTGGCGGTGCAGCGCGGCGTGCCGCTTCAGCACTTTCTGTTCCACTAACGGTTTGGACAGAACTATTTGTAAGGTGGTCACATCCCTTTTTCATTCAGAGAATGTAAGGTCGACATTTTTAAAGAGATCTTAAAAAGTATTACATCTGAATGACTTAAACCTGCTCAGATACCCTGTTTATTGTGGCAGGAGAAAACGAGAAGAAGCGTTCCTGCATCATCAAACTGGAAAACTAATGTCTGAGCTGCAGAGCCAAATACTTTTCCTGAATTATAAGAATGCAGCCAGTTGTGGGATGAGTCATCCAAAAGCCTCACAGGGCTGCATCTGTGCCATGTGTGCACTTACTCAGGCTTCAGATCGAGCACCTGCTCCATGCTGGTTACCCCCGCGCTAGAAAAACTGTCCTTGTACTGGCTCATCTTAATGGATTCAAGCCACTCGGGCACCGATCTGAAGGTGGTGTTGTCACAGCCACTGGTGCTGGGTAGGCGGATGGAAACCCTGTAGAGAATAATGGGTATCAGCATCTAAAGGTATGTATGTGCGTCTGTGTGAGATTTATTTCCAGCATTCTCATTTTCTGAGTCCATACCGTGGGTCAAAGTCCGCAATCGTCTTCAAAGACTCTGGATTTTTAAGAAGTTTATCCAAAATGCTGACGATGTCTGAAAAACGAGGCCGTTTGAGGCGGTCGTGCTGCCAACACTGCTGCATGAGCTGGTAGATAGCCGAAGGGCAGTCCATCGGGGCAGGAAGCCTGAAGCCCTCGTTGATAGCCTTCATGACCTGAGGAAGAGGAAGAGGCAGAGTGATGGAAGAGCCTGGATTTAAGGTATTCTTGTGACCAGTAATCTGTTTGAATGGGTAGCAGTCCAACCCCCCCCCCCCACACACACACACACACACACACACACACACACACGACACCCAAACAATCAGTCATCACAGCCATAGGGGTCACGGCAGATGAAACATACCTCATGGTTGTTCATTTCCCAGTAGGGCCGTTCTCCAAATGCCATGACTTCCCACATGACGATACCAAAACTCCACACGTCGCTGGCTGAAGTGAATTTCCTGATGGCGATGGCCTCTGGGGCGGTCCAGCGAATGGGGATCTTACCTCCCTGACACAAGAGAAACATCAACAAATCATATTTAAACCGTGATGGGAAAGAAAATCCAGAGCGGTGAAAGAATAACACTTCAGACGGAGCACTTGAGAGTGGAAACAACTAACAATGCACCATTTGTTTGGGTTTAAAAAAAAAAGAAAAAGAAATTGAATCTCCTGCTTTTTAGACAGAAATATCACTTAGACTCACTCTGGTTGTGTATGTCCCCTCCAGATCATCCTGCAGGATGCGAGAAAGTCCAAAGTCCGACACCTTACACTCCAGGTTGCTGTTGACCAGGACGTTTCTTGCTGCCAGGTCCCGGTGGACGTAGTTCATTTCACTGAGGTATTTCATGCCATTAGCAATACCCTGCAGCATTCCCACGAGCTGGTACGTGCCGATGTCCTTCTCATGATCCTAAAGGGAAATAGAAGGAAAACCAAACTTTAGCTTTTGTTTTCTTTAGAGAAATACATGGCAACAAACAATAACAGATATGAATTAGACATAGCCAATTTTACACAATGTTATATTTTACTAAGGATATTTAATATTATCGTCTGACACTGGCATTAAAACGTAATATTGGAATATAGATATGTGATATCAGTTGACTAAAATTATTTCATTTTTCTCTGTTTTTATTTTTAATAAACAGGGAACCCAAGATATATGGTAGTACCGGGTAGTTGGAAATTAAGATCTAGACTATATTGGTATATCGTTTTATCGGATATTGTTATATCAGATATCGTTATGTCAGATATCTTCATATCGGATATCTTCATATTGGATATCGTTATATCAGTATAAAAGCTGATATCGAACATACACATGTTTAACCCCACAAATGGTACATTTATTTACATCATTTTCCAAAAATTTAAACATTCTGGACAACAAATAATGAGAGAAAATGAAACATTCCTCTTGTTTACAGTCAGCGTCTCACACTTACTTTCAGATATATGTCTAGAGCTCCATTCTCCATGTATTCTGTCACTATCATGGCGTGCTTGACTGAAAATAAAAGTAACAAAAGTTGTTTATTAAAAACAAAACATCACATAACATTGACAGCAAGAAAGGCATTGGTATTTGAACATTCGTGTGAGGCTGTTGACTCACATTTGGTGACGACTCCCTCCAGATGAATGATATTTGGATGAAAGAACTGACCCATGATGCTGGCCTCGCTCAAGAAGTCCTGCCTCTGTTTCTCAGTGTAGCCAGGCTTCAGGGTCTTAATGGCCACGGGCACCTGCCCTTTACGGGTCTTCATCACACCACGAAACACTTCCCCAAACTCTCCTGATTGACGCACAGAAAGCAGTTGGAAAAGTTGCAAAATAATTTCATATAAAGGAACGTAGAGAGAAAAAAAAAGACGCTCTTACCAACACCAATAACTTTTTGTTTGCTGATCACATTTGGGTCTATTTCCGTGACAAACTTTAGGATTGCAGTGTTCGGGTCCTCATATGTGTGCGGGTCAACGTACGCCTTCAGAGCCTTTATCTGATCTTCAGAAAGGGGATCCTCGGGTCCTCTCCTGCCACAAGAGCTCAGCTTCCTGGGAGACAAAACAAGGCTAATCACTACAAGACCACACAGGACTGGCGTTTCTGTAATTGTAGGTCAGCCTTGGCACCAGTTATTACTTCTAAACTGTCCTTGAGCTTGTGGCTGATAATCACATAGTTTCCAGGTTGGTAGATGCAACATTTATCTCCTGTTGAATGAACCAACCTTCGGCGCAGCAGCAGGAAGGCCACGACAACAAGCAGAATCACAGCCACTCCGGCGACGGCTCCCATCACCATGGTGGACTTGTTCTGTGTCCGAGACTCAGCTGTGCACATTCACAGAAACATTTGAATTGAGACATTAAAGGAATAAAAAATAAAAATCAGACTTGGTTTCTGTAGATGCTAACGTGGTCTGCACCTAAAGGAGATGTCTGAAACTCCTGTTCCGTGCTGTAGCTGCCAGGTACTCCCTCTGGACTCAAGGCCTGGACTCTGAACACATATGTGGTGTCTGAGGTGAGATCAGTAATCTGGACAGAGTTTTTATCCAAAATAAGCACCGTGTAGGTGGTCACATCGCTCTCGCCGTCAACATCCTGCAAAAATCACATTTAAAATTTCAGATTTAAAAGGAATTTGACCTAAAACAGCTTTGAATTGTGGGGAAAAGAAAGGATGAGTGATGGTAAACCTGTGTCTTACTTTTTTACGGTACATAAGCTCATAGCGGTGACTGATGTGGGCTGGAGGTCTACGAGACAGAGTCCAGGACAGAGACAGACTGGTGGGGCTGCGATCGTCCAGATGGATCAACGCCACCTTCGGGGGAGCTAACAGTCGACGAGACACAGAAAGCAAAATAATGGTTAGAGGCTAATCACAGTGCTTGGGAGGGATACTTGGAAATGAAAGCCTTTGGGACTGAGTAGGTCAGACTCAAATTCCTCTCTCTGTAGTAAGCCCATCTTTTCTAGAAGCCTTTAATTGAAAGGTACAAGGTTACATGAAAAATGGCTGAACAGCTCGTCACTCTCTTAGATCTCATGTTACACTTTACAGCTCATTGCCTTAACAAAATCATACCTAATTCTTTTTAAGGACTCATGCACTCGAAACACTACATTTACATACATCACTACATTTGCTGTGGTCTCTAGTATGAATGAATGCCTTCCGTGTTACTTTCTGTGGTAAAAATAAAGCTCTGGCGCTCCTGTTTCAAGAAGTAGAAGAAAGCCGGAGTGAGAGGGCAGAAAAAAGCAGGATTTGGAATCTTATTCATTAATATTCGTGATATTCAGACATCTCACTTGTGTTTGGCTAACAGCAATGCATCTCTTCCACTGCCTCCATTCTCTCTGCATGTTTTTCTCACCAAGTAACACAAACTTGAAGGATTTCTGTCATGTTGTGGAGTTGCTAATGCTAATGTAAGCATCTGTTAGCTGAGACGCGCTCTACTCTCTCCTGGACGCTAAATCAACAGCCCACCCCGTTGCGAGCCAAGATGGAGGAGTCAATGAATGCTAATTTTCAGTGTGACGTAGATCTGTGTGGCGTTTTCTGACCCAAGCCAAGAAGACTCTCTAAACAAAACAAAATCTCACTTGTATAATCCAGAGCAGTGGTGATGACTGCAGTCGCCCCCTTGGTGCCATATTGGGACACTCCACTATGAGCCTCCACAGTAAATGTGTAGTTGAGATGAGAATCCAGGCCACTAATAACCACTGTTGTGTCCTGGATGTCTGTAGGACCCGTCTCAAAGTGGATCGTCTCTCCACAGGGGATGCACAAAGTCTGGTCACAAATCTCACACGCCACGCTGTATGTGAGGTCACCGCGGCCTCCGGTCACCAGCGGCGGGCTCCAGGACAGCAGCAGCCGACCATCTCCAGACACGGTGGTGGACGTGAGATCGAGCGGAGCACTGGGTGGAGCTTCAGGAGGAAATCAACGACAGAAACAACTCTTAAATGCTTTTAAATGTGCTGAAAGCCAACTTTATATGAGAGTGAGTGATGTTTTTACCAGAGCAGGGTGACGTCGGATGGTCCGAAGGCGAGCGGAAGAAACCGTCCTCGCAGAGGCACTCGGTGGCACCAGCTGATGAGGGCTTAGTGTTGTCTGGACAAACTTGACATAACTCACTGGACATGGATGGCTTGAAGTAGCCCGGTTTACATTCTGTGTGGTGGAAAGAGGGTGTGTTGGTTTTAACATGGCATATGAAACAGACAAACACAGGAAAGGAATGCCTGATCAAAAAGCAAACAATAAGCCGCCTCCGTCAGACCAGCCCCCTCCCAACCAACAGGAAGCTTTTGCTGTGAGTAACATGTAATCATTGGGTCTTTGTATCCAGAAGCATGAGAAGGGATTTCCCTGACGATTTGCCTTTACTCGCCCGCTTTTGCCCAGAGGCCTGATCTCAGGTCGCACTGCCAGTGTCAACCGGATGACAGCCGAGCAGTAAATCAGGTGATCCCATCTGCCTGTGAACTCTAGTCCGCAGCTCAAATTTCTGGTAAATAATACTTTTGTTTTGCCAAAGGAAACGGCACCTTGGACGCTGGTGAAGCGTTTGTTTCAGAGATAAACACCCTTCCAGGGCAAAAAGAAAGGTTAACGAACATGCGGACAGGACAGAAATCAGAGCTAAAGAGCTGTGATTCAGTCTAAGGCCGATGTTTCCTCTCTCACTTCCTTCCTTCCGTAGAAGCACATGCACATATTTTCTGAGTGAAGTAAGGCCTCGGAGCAGAGTCTCTTTAAACACACGGAGCTTACGTACAGATCTCATCTCTGCTTTCATCTTTTTTGAGGACCAGCCTTTCATCTGACCCCTGAGCTGGTGGCAGAGGGATGAAGAGGCCGAGAGAATCCTGCACTGAAGACACGACGCGCTGCTTCCCCGCTAAAGCCGAAGGACCTTTTCACCCCAAGTGCTGTCACAGCAGAGAAGGGGCAGGTTGAATTTAGACGAATAGAAGGGGGTTGGGGGTAAAGGTCTGGAGCACCAACAGAAGCTCTCTCTGGGGAGTCGCTCGGCGGCAGTGGGGGGTGTAGCCGGAGTTATTTCGAATAAGAAAAGGGGGCCAGCCCATTTTATCTTGAGCTGGAACAGCAGGACCTCGGTCACGTCCTAAAGAAACTACAACCCTATTCATCCATTGTCTGTGAGATTGGACTGAGTGGTGCCATAAATATGTTGCATCAGTCTTAACTCACATGTGTGCAGAGCAGAAAGCACCAAAAACGGTTCATGCAGACTTGGAGAAAAGTTGCAACATCGGGTGAAATTGTTCAAAACTTTCTGTAGTTTATGCTCCTGACTGCCTCTGCACCTCTCTGACCACAGAGCATGAATAGAGCTTAATGCACCGGCGCATCTATTAATTGAACCTGTTTTCTAGGCTCTTTTGTGCTCCGGCCTGTTGTTCTAATGAGTGGGAACGTGGATTAGGGAGGTTGTTGCCTGTGTTGACAACCGGATGAAAGAGCAGAAGGAGGCTGAAGCGAGGCATGTCATTGGCTAACAGCTGTCCTGTTGCTCCACTAATCCTCTTGACTAAATTACACTCCACACCTAAGAATCCACAAAAACAATCTCCACATGCGCCAACTGTCGGCTCGTTCCCCACCATTGACAATCTGCTTATTTGTGTCCGTCAGCATTCCTCGCCATGTCGCTCCGCTTCCTTTAACCGCAACAGTTGGGCCCTTTGGTGGAATCTGTTAGGATATCACTTTCTCTTGTTATGGTAAAACAGGAACGAGCCGGAGAGATTCCCGGAACGGAAATTTACTGACAAGCTTCTTTTTAAAAAAGTGTGATAACAGATGTTTCCTTCGTCCTAATAATCAGTTTATCATTCAGACTTTGGGTTCTTATCCTTCCCTGTTATAAAAACGACTTCCTGTCTTTTTGTGCCAACTTCCATTTCAAGTGCGGTCGTCATCAGGAAAACTCAAAGGCTGATACATCCCTCTGCTCCGTCTCCATGTGCTTTGAAGTATCTGCTTTTATCTGGTGATTGGCCTTCTTAATCGACTTTGTGGCTCATGTTAAAGGCCAAATAAAAACATGCGGTAAAGTGTGTCACAGTTCAGAAAAGGTTCTGGTTCTTATAGGGGAAACATTCCTACATTAAAATGTTGATTTGACGTAGAGGCCGACCGATATGTTTTTTAAGGCTGATGCCGATACCGATTTTTAAAGAATTTTGTTGCAGATGGCCAATATCTAAATTACTATTATATTATACATATATATATGTATATATATATATATACGTATATATATATATATATATATATATATATATATATATATATATATATATATATATATATATATATATATATATATATATATATATATATATAAAACAAACTTAAAACATAAAAACGGTGTTGGGATCCTTCGGGTCCTTTCTACCGTCTAGTAGTGGCAGCAGGCGGCCATGCAGGTGCCTGTTTAAAAAAATGTATTACTTTTTTTTAATCAGCTTTTAAAAATAATTTTGGCCGACATAGAAAAAGGTGAATATATCGATCTGTCTCTAATTTTAAGCACTTTTAGCAGCAAAAAGAACAAAATTAGTCAACAGGAATACAATTTTCCTAATTATAGTTTAAAAAATGGTTAATTGCCTTCTAAGGGTTCTACAACCCCCCAAGGCGCTTCACAGCACAATCAGTCATCCACACATTCACACACTGGTGATGATGAACTACAGAGTAGCCACAGTTGCCCTGGGGCGCACGGATGGAGGCGAGACTGCCGAGCACTGGCCCCACCAGTCCCGCCAACACAACCGCAGCATTCTCTGGCAGGAGCTGGGATCGAGCCTACAACCTTCCGATTACCGTACAACCCGCTCTATCTCATGAGCTACAGCTGCCCTTAACAAGCAATCAAATAATTACTCATTTCCTTCAGTCGGCATGAACTTGACTAATTACAGGAACAGTTTCAGAATACCACATTCTTTTTTCAGCCAAGGTGACTTGGACCATCGGGAATGATAAACCGCAGCCTGACTTAGGAGTGTCAGCTTCATCCCTGCAATCTGTGGTTTCTGTTGCCGTAGAAACCAGCGCAAAACAAACACTTGAGAGGAGACACACCGCTCAGGTAGTGGTTCTGACACGGCCCTTCCTTGGGTCAATCAGTGCTGTAGGTATGAGGTGACATCAGGATGAAAGAATTCGTGTAAGAAATCCCCCTCGGCACGCCGGGGCCTTTTCCTCCCTCCTTCCTCTTCACTCCATACCCTCTCTCTCTCTCTCTCTCTCTCTCTCTCTCTCTCTCTCTCTCTCCTCCCACGTTTCCTCCAGACAGTTCAACACACCACACCCCAGAATACCAAAGGACGGAAAAACTTCCACACAAAGAGCACATACAGTAAGAACGCCACACTCACATCCTTTTCCTACTTCAGAGTTGTAATTATGCTGTATTTAAGCTTCTGTGTTTTATTTTGGGTTTTATAAACATTAAAATGTCTAAAAAAATCTGCGCCTGTAAAAATAACATTTTTATTTACTATAAAATGTAAATAAAGTAAATGATGAGCATGTGGAACCAAATTAATAAAAATAACTAATTTGCCAGAAGGCATTTCCCTCTTCACGTTATTCTGTTCTTTATATAAGGGCTCTTTGATCATTTACATAAAGTTACACACAGCTAGGACATAATTTTCTGAACTGTCAGTTATCATAGCGTGCCCATATAGTCATAAAGCAGTGCTTTTGAGCCAAGCCCCATTCCTGAAACCTGAGCGACCAGCGACACAAAACAATGAAATGTTAGGCAACAGGTAAATATATGATAAGGTGTCAGAAGCAAACAGGTCACATTTCCTCATAGCTCCATTCATCGGTATGAAATGAAAGAACCTGTTGTTGTCTTCGATGTTGCTAACCTGAAATTGTATTTCCAAACATAACTGACACAACATTCCTGGGACCATTACTCACTTCAAAAACAAACACAATTGCGAGCAGATCCATTGCAGTGCTTACCTTTGCAGGAGTCTTTTGTGGTTTCGTAGCCTGGGAGGCACTGGCACTGGCCCACAGGAACCACCCATTCACCCTCAGCTGAGCAGTAGATGCGTGGGGTGGCCTGACTGATGGCATTCTTCACGCAGGCTCCGTCCACGACTTTCAGCGCATCTGCCACCGTCTCTGGGAAGGCTGCCAAGCTCTGCACGGTGGACGGACACGTCTTGTAGTAGACTCTGACGGATAGCAGCGCCACGCAGGCGCCCACATCCTGAAAGGCCAGGTAGAAGCCTTTTCTGGACAGGGTCCCCACTGTCCTCGTCTCGGTGTTGATCTTAAGCACGCGGCCCCGGGTGACCTCATCAGGAGCGATGGTGGCCACTTTGCGGAACTGCCCTTTCCGGAAGTTGGTTCCCACATCGGCATCGGCCTCAGAAAGGAAGAGGTTGAACGTTTCTTTGCAGGTGACGGAGGAGCCGTCAAAGGTGTTGCAGTCTCGCACAACAAACCTGAGCTCCACCGAGACGCGACTGGTCCCGGGGGGGCCCTGAATGAAGGTCGTGCGCAACCAGTTGTCCTGTTCGGTTGTGTCTATACTGCACACACTGTATGTGTAAAACAGGGAGCCATTCACCACTGTCTGGACAATTTCCCACTGCAAACCACAAAGAAATTTCAGTTAACATGACAAAAGTCCCGATCACTAGCAGCAAGAAAGGCAGGAAAGACTTTTCTTTAGGAAGAGTTTTCCTGCCAAGAACCAGTTTAATAGATGGGACACCTCTTCTTTCATGTTACTGAGATGCTCATAAAGCGTAGAAGTGAGCTGAAGCGATTTTTCCACACATTAAAGTTGTCTGGACATGTGCTGGCGCTCACGACGTGTGCGGTTTTCCATTTACGCACACATGGTTGCATGCAGGACGCAACCCCAACAAACACCGCTGCAGAACACCACCTTAAGTGGTGCCACACGCCACATGGCAGCAGCATCAGCAGCAATTAAAGGGTTCTGCTTTTACGAGGAGGAAGCAATGACGAAGAAAAGATTAAAAGACGTAGAATAAAGATTAAAGATTCACAATTCAGGTAGTAGCAGTTCAGGTGGGTTTCGGGGGGGAATCACAGATTTATGATGTTAATAAAAGGGAGGAAATACTAAATTTAAGTCTTCAGCAAATCTAAACACGTTTTGGGAAGTTTAACAAAGTTGTCAAAGACAAAGGGAAATCCTATCCGATGAATTCTTAGATCTTTGAGTGAAGCACAGCCCACACACTTGAACTGGCCACGTCCTGTTTCTTATTTTGGCTGGAAAGCCACTGAACTATAGATAGGAACGAGAGGGATGGCTCGGTGCATCTGGAAAAGACTTTCTTTTTCTTTTAGTCATGTCTTTCCATAGCGTACATTGTCCTGTGAGCGTGATCTTTAAATTCAAAAGTGATTCACACGGAAAACTACTCCTAAAAATACACTTTTATTGTTGTTTTATCGTTTCTGTGAAGAGAACACAGTTGACTATAATTGTAAAAATGTACTTTGGTACTGTAAATTTAAATGTAGGTTGAACTTTGACATTTTAATGGCATTCATAAGCTCTTTATGAAAGGGTAGCATTAACACAAGACAAGCTGGGCTCTGCCAAACCTCGTCCAGCTGCCTTTCATTCCATTTCTCCCAAAGAGACATTTTAGAGGTTTGAATGAGCAGAGGCAGACCTCTAGCAGAGTCCCCACTCTGGCTTTAAATGCTCAAAAACAAAAGTTTCACCAATCCACTTCTGCAGAGATGCTTACAAGCCAGGAACTTGGGAGTTGTAAGAACGCCATATGAAGTATAAATACTCACCCCGTTCTCATTTGGCTGCGTCAACCATCCTAACTCTGATCCCGAAGCTTTCATATCCAGCAACACATCTGCAGCGACAAAGAGATCAAACAACTTTTCACTCATAAACATAAATGTTTAAAAAGCTTTTGGTGTGTGTAAATAGGGATTCGTTTATATAGAAATGGATTTGATGCTTTGATCTTTAGGGGAAACTGTTTTATGAAGGGGGCACATGCCACGCTTTGACATTTTAATCAAGCATGTCGGTTTGATTCAGAATTTCATGGACCGTGTCCTTCGGAGCCCAGGATGCAGGACTAATAAAGTCTGAGAAAGGCGTGGGAAGTTAAATGACCGTGGCCAGGGCTATACATGAATCCACACCACGAGTCTAACGAAAAAAAGGTGTCACATTTTAAATCATGAAACAGGTGCCCATGGGACTCCTTCCACCGAGGCTGACACTGAGTTAGCTTATTTATGAAAAGACAAGGTGATGAAAAAAGATAGAAGGAAATTGCTCTGAAAGGTAAATAAATTTCATAAAAATTTTAGTATAAGAAAATTATTTACAAGTTTAACAGCGATCGCGCCAAGTGAGCGGTTTTAAGTTAAAAACACAAAATGTTGCCTCTGGAGTTAGGTGCGGCAAAAGTTAACTTATTTTAAAAGCTACTTACGTTCTTTTGACTGCAGGGAGATAAATATCCGGCTAATAAATAAAAACAGGAAGAGTCTGACCCGACGCAGCTCCATGTCCACTCAACTTTTTAAAAAGTTTTATTCGCGTTCTTTATTTTCGTTCTCTCTCCTCCGCCCGACCCACCGGCTCCACTTTTCTCTCTCTCCACCTTCTGAATGTGCGCGAGCCCAAACCGCACACGAGCCCATTGAGAAACAGGTGGCGTCATAGCTCCTCCCCCTCTCAACTTTGGAATGTGGAAGAACTCCAAACTGGGTGATAATGGGCGGAGCCAACGAGCAGCAGCTGTGTCATTGAGAATATAAACCCCAATTAAACTGCAATATTTGCCGTTTTAATAGCAGATGTTTTTATTATTTAACTTTATATATATTTTTTACAAACATCAGCTCCACCTAAAATAACCCAATATTATATTTTTAAAGAAAAATTTGTTATTCAATTATCTTACTTTAACAATTTGGTATTTAAATGTAAGCCCTCTACTTAATAGATTTTTCTCCCCTTTTGTCACTTTAAACATTTTAATTTGTAATTGTTATTTTTTGTGTATACATATCAGTTGTTTCATATTTCAAAGTTAATAAAAGGGTGTTATTGTTTTATTACTATATTTCTACACAGGATTAAAACTAGAATTAAAACGTTTTGACACAGGAAACCAACATCATGAAGATGCAAGTTCTCACGAGGATAAAGTTGTTTTTGTTTTTATTTGGTCAACATGAACAACTTGATTACATGTGTCGATGATGAATAACATCATACTGTCACCCAAAATGTATGATACATACTACCCGGTGTTAACAGTAATACAAATGTCCATAATGGCCTGTCATGGCCCTGTCATGACCTGATGTTTTCTTGATGTTTTGACATGACCTGATGAAACCTGAAGTCCCCGTTGCTGATACTCACCCCTCCCTTTGGGCAATGTATTTCTGTCCAAAGTTCCTGTTTTGTGCTGAGACAGTAGCCGCTTCTTGTTCAAAACTGTTAGAAGAGCATATATTCAAATAAGATTGCTCAAATCGAAAATGTACCGACTTGTGACCCATCCCTGCTTTAGCTTGTGACCCATCCTTGCTTGAACGAATAAATACAGCCGTGACAAAGCCGAGAATCAGAACACTTTGAGCAGTGACTGAAGCAAGGCGGCTGGCCTTGCATGAGTACTGACGTGTTCTCCCTCTGCAGCGGTGAATCTTATCTTGACTGGTTTTTGACTCCAACATCAACTCAGAAGCAAACATCTTTTTCTCCAATCGTCCCGAACCTGTCTTGGTCGCTTTTCAGGACCAACACCGGCCCAAAAAAAGTAGTCAGTTTTTTTTATATCACAATTGTCTATTTTTTGCTCATTTTAAATATATTTTAACCGTTTTCTAAATTCTGTTTTATATTTTTACATTTTTTGTTTTTGTGAAGCGCCTCGTGTTTTTTATCTTGAGAGGCGCTATAGAAATGCTATATAGAAATTAAATTTTCTTCTTCTTCTTCTTCTTCTTCTTCTTCTTCTTCTTATTCTTCTTCACACAAATATTTTGTTGGACCACTTTTAACTTTGATTACAGCACACATTCGCTGTGGCATTGTTTGGATAAGTTTCTGCAGTGTCACAAGACTATTTTGTTTTCTTCGTAAAGTTAGCTTATTCACAAAAAAAAGACAAAAGTTTGAATTCAGCTTTAATAAGAATGTATGAAAATCAGTTTTAGATGTTCCAGATTTATAATGGAAGGCTTTCTTGTGTTCCTTTGAATCTCTTTTCAGCAGATCTTTGGTGCCTTGGGAAATTTAATTTAAACAAACTGGATGTAAACAATTTATTCCAGTCCTTTTGCACTTGGTCTTAAGACATAATGTACAAATCTTCTTGGAAGTTTGTTCTGACCAGGAGCAGCTGTAAATGTTTCAAAGTGGTGCCTGTGATATCGCACAAATTGTGTATATTCTCTTCCCTTTGGTGATTAAAGTGTGTTTAAGTTGGACAATCATTTCACCGTCTTCCAAGTAATTGCCCAAATCCTCCACATCTCGTCCAGGTCTTGTCTTTCCCACGGCTGGTAAGGGAGGGGTCAAGTGGGGGGGGGGGTCTGGTATGAATATATGACTACTAATGAGACTGTCCTCAAAGCAGCCTCACAATTTGGGTATGAATATGTGGCTACAAAGAAAATGGAACAACAGCATCACCTAGCAACTCTTATTTAGAGGAATGTCAGAGTCAAGTCATCTCTGTGGAGCAGTGTGCACTTGGAAAGAAGAGCCCCTCAGGCTGAGAGCCAAAGAAGAACAACCATCCTGACAAAGAGCCTTCTAAAAAACCAACTGAAGGGTCGAACATTGTCTTGTCCATGTCTTGTCCAGCGTTACGATACACACAGACAGACAGGGCGACAGAAGCTGTTGAATAAATTGGATTTACAAGTTAAGTGTTTGCTGAATTATGACTTTCTGACCTGAAAAATCACTCGTTTTAGTTGTTTGCGAAACACGTAGTGTAACCAAGTTGGTGGAAAATTTCATCCCTTTGACCAGGAAGTAAAACATGTCCACTAATCGTCAAACTATTTGCTTCTTGAGTGAATTTTATTTCTGTCTTGACGTTGACTTAAACTTACAAAAAGTAAAAGAGAGCCAAACTGCAAGAGGAAGGGAATTCAATTCCACATTCTTCCCAAACTATCCAACCCTCTTTCCTCCGGGAGTAAACCAACACTTCCACCTCAACACTCATGTTCCTTTCACACCACCCTTTACGACTTTTAATACACGCTGATGTACACGTAGATGTTATTTTCGAGTGCGTTAGTGCTCAGACTCTGAGAAGTGGTCGTCTGTTGTCACTCAGTTCTCCCAGGTGTCAAAGGTTAACACCCTCTCTAACGCACAAGTATGCAAATGCTTTCATTACAATTCAAGCTTCTTTTCATTTGCTTAACATAAGCATGTGTCCTGCCAGAGAGTGGACTGCCACCTCACAGACTCCCCTCGCTGCCATCGCCGCCCCCTTCAGGTCCTGGGCTTCTGAGGGTGATGACAACACAAAAGCACCTCACACTGGGGGCTGGGCCTGCATTTTGTGGGTCAGCAAACAACGACCAATGCAGCAACACCCTGTCATTCAGAGTCAGCCCCCCCCCCCCCCCCCCACTCACACTTCTTGTTGTATCAGCAAACACAGAAGTGGAGCACTGTTGAAGTTGTCGGGGAGTTTTTGTGTAAAAGCCCTAATGGTCTTGTTAGGGAATGATGGATTCACATGTTTGAGTGGGATTGTCGCCTTTCCAACAGTTACTGAAGACACTATGATTTAAAATATTTGGGCTGCATGGTGACGCAGTGGTTAGCACTGTTACCTCGCAGCACGGAGGTTGCAGGTTCGAAACTCAGCTGCTGCCTTTCTGCGTGGAGTTGCGTGTTCTCCCCATGCACGCGTGGGTTTCCTCTGGGTACTCCGGTTTCCCCCACAGATCACAACATGCCCTATGGGTTGTAAATTGTAAGTCGCTTTGGATAAAAGCGTCTGCTAAATGAATAAACATAAACATAAAATATTGTGGGTATAAAAATACCTAGCATACTGCACACTACATTTGTATTAAATAATAATAAATTTTGGGGGTTAAACCATCAAATAGTTCCCTAGCACAGCCACTGCTGCAGCTCACTGCTCTCCATGGATGGGTCAAATGCAGAGATGTAATTTCACCAGCATGAGATGAGACTTTAATGTAGATCGATGTATTGCTACACTCCTAGATACTACCACACAACATTTTTAGCTTTATCTAGTATTTTTGTTTAATGTCGATTATGATTTGGATTGACGCCATAAAGTAAGTCAGTTATATGGAGAATTTCTGTTTCCTTCATTAAATTTGGTGTATTTTCTTAAACCTCATTAAAAAAATTCTAAAGAAGCAACCAGACTAAAACACATTACACATAAAAACCAGGATCCTTGCTTTGTGGACTTTTACCGCATTATGAGTCACTGAAGCTTTTTAGAGATAATCCCAATGGATTTGTTCTGTTTTCATTTGCTTACAAGAAAATTGTGAAATTGTCCTCATCTGATAAGAAATCACACAAAGCTTGAGTTATATTTCACAACACGAAAAGACAAAATCTGTGCTGACAAAATCTAGAGATCTCCGTGACATAGTTCAGTTTGCAGCTGTGTTAAGACATGACTGAGCGTCACTCAAGAGAGCAAATTCAACAAAAACCAAAAATATTCCCACTAATGACAACACAATGAAAACAGCATCCTTTATCCCCACTAACAGGGAATGGGTCTTCTTCATCCTTCACTCCCTTGTTTTTGCTTTGTTGAAAAGCCCGTGCATTTTTCACCCATTATGTCTTGATTCATTTCCTTTTAAAAGATCCACATGCCACCTCTGAAAACACAACCTCCTTTTAGTTCAAACCCAGGGCAGGTGTCTGTTCTGGGCTCTGGTATGTGCGGGAGATCCCTCAAAGACAAAGGAAACAACACGTTCTGACAAGTTTTGTATTATAAAGAGAAGAAATGTGAGAATGTGGCTAAAAAACACATGGCATTACTCATAAAAGCACCAGTTTTGGTTTTAGATTGCGACTTTGCCCTGATCAGTCATCGCTGCTTGCATTTGCACTGACCTCATGCATCAAAGAGCAGCTGCGTGCAAAAAGATTTACTCTGAATTTTTTTTCCCTTTGTAGCTAAACTGCAAACGAAGATACTTTGAAAAGTAAAACCACCTGGAATTAGTTCAGTCTTCTGAGTTAAGTATCAAAGTCATTGCCGAGACTAAAATTACAGCAAGGACTAACAAGTCGTTTAAAAATGAGCCTGTCAGTCATTGCTCTGTATTATGTTCTCTTGTTAGTATGCAACAGGTTGTGTATTCAAATTTATCCCAGACTGAGGTCCCTAGAACCCCCCTCGTCTGGCCTTTAAAGAGGGGGTGGGGTGGGGGTGAAATGGCTTTTTAGTAAAAAAACCATGTTAATTGTAATGAGTGTTGGCAAAGCAGTCAAATAAAGATGACAGCACACATTCATATGCATTCAGTTGTGTGCTCAGCTTGACGAAGTCTGCCCTGCAGGCTTAACAAAGAGTAGGAAGGAAGCCGGGTGGGGTGGGGGTGGGGGGTGTGTGTGTGTGTGTGTGGGGG